GGGAGGGTTTTACCCCCCCTCGGGGGGGAAAAAAAAAAATTTTTGGGGGTTTTTCCCCCCCCCCCCCCCCCCCCTCTTCCTCTCTCTCTCCCTCCCTCTGGTCTAAATGGCAGTATTATAATCTATTTCAGGTCAGTAAATCTGATCCCTGAGGAGCCAGAAGATATGTGGCATGCCTACAATATGGTACAAGTTGGTGATTATTTACGAGGGACGACCATCAGGTAAATTTATCTAGACTGGATTTAGACTGTGATTCTCTTACTTGTCCATATCCTTGACCTTAAAATCCACCTTTTGGAAAGTTAAACCCCTTTTCAAATACAACTTTTATGACTTTGCAATAGTCTTAACAGCCCCCTGTCACCAGGAATGAATTGGTGCTGGAGCTTAGATTTTGTACTCATTAAATTTGAAGAATTAAAGCCCACAGAACTCAATTCTGAATATTTTGAGGTGGCAAAAATGTATCAAAATCTATATATAGCTTTTTGATTTTGTACAAAGTAAATGAATCAATCTCTGCTGAACTGAAGAAGGTTTTATTGGGGCTTAATTGTCTCTTGCTGGGGCCCAGCCCCCACCCTAATGACGGGGCTGCCCCCATTTATTGTGTTTGTTGATTTGCAGGAGAATCTGTTTTTGACACTAGAAATGATATGATAGGTGACCTCTTCCCTGTTCTCTCCAATACACTGTACCTTTTTGATGGAAGAATTTGATAATTGCATAATGAAAACACCTGATTTTTTTCTTAAAAGAGTTAAAGGATTTATTGATATTTCTAGGAAAGTAACATTAGAATCATCAACTGGTAGTGTGAGTGCTAATAAAGTTCGAACCATGTTAAATATTGAAGTAGAGGCAGTAGATTTCGACAGCCAGGCCTGTGTTTTAAGGGTCAAAGGTCGCAATGTTTCTGAAAATCAATATGTTAAGGTATGTTTTTAGTATTTTGATTTGAGATAAAGATAGAATAAATAGTATTAAAGCTATATTGTGTTCATAACAACTTATCCTATCTCAAAATATCTGGATTGCTTTTGTTTAGGTTTTTCATATCAAAATTAAAGATGAAACAACTGTTTTTTACAAGGTTAACAACGAAGGTTCATAAAGGGTCCTTTCTATCAGTTCGTCCTAGGCCAAACTTTTTGGTATTGATCTTTCCTGGATTATCCGTTCCCATTTACAGCTGGGTAGACTGGAATTATGAGTGCAGATGACTTATTCAAGGTCATCATACTTTCACACAGTGATTGAGATTAGACTCTAGATATGAAACATGTACAAATATCTTTTTGGTGACATCTCTATTATAATGTTTATTTTTGTAGCTTGGTGCCTATCATACCCTAGATCTGGAATTAAATAGAAAATTTACTCTAGGTAAACATCATTGGGACAGTATAGCTTTAGAAAGATTAGGTAAGAATCATTTCTGTATTCTGTGGATATTTTACTGAATCTGAACCACAATTACCAGAAATATCTAGTAATTTGGGGAGTCCGCTCAAAGATGTTTTGGATTTTTATTAATTGTTTAGAGAAAAATTGATATGAACACCAAATTCCGAATTCAGTCATTATTACAACTGCAATACAAGTGAAATTAGTATACAATCATATACATAGTTATTTATTGATATTTCTAATTATATAATCATCTGAAAAATTACGAATTTTTCAACCCAGAATCTTTTAATGCCAAGTATGATTTGTACAAAGCATATTACAAGATTTTTGTCCTCGAAGACCTCACACATCATTTGCAAGTCTACATTTTTTTTGTACAAGGCATTTTGCAAGTTGACCTCATTTTGATTTTGTACTTTCTTTCAGATTATGCATGTGACCCGACCCAGCATGCTGATTTAGCTGCCGTGGTGATGCAGGAAGGATTGGCTCATGTCTGTTTGATAACTTCCTGTATGACTTTAGTTCGTGCCAAATTAGAAACTCATATTCCTCGTAAACGTAGAGGTTCTTGTGAACAACACACTAAGGTAGGTAACCCTGGAATTTATAAATTGTTTTAAATCTTTTGTTACTTTTTGACTTAAGCCTAGATTGCTTGTGAATCTTTCTGTTGTTCTGCTGACACAAATTTGCTGTCCATGAAAAATACACATAGCATGACCTTGCCTGTTCTCGTTAGCCCAAACAGGTGTAGAAAAGAAGGACATCAACTCCATGTCATCTACAATCAGATTATCAGCCTTGGGTAGGAAAAGTTTTTTTTGATGATATGAACCATTTGACTACAAACCAACAAGAATTACCATGATCACAACTACCTATTCTGTGATATCAGCATCAGGCAAACGTAAACCTGTTATCTACAATATAAACTATATAATGTTATATTTGCAATTTCAGGGATTGAACCGATTCTATGATCAGATATTACAGGCTATTTTACGGCATGTCAATTTTGAAGGTAAGTTCAAAACTTTCATTTTGTCTCAAGATTGTCTCACCAAGAAATGATGGGTATGTTTTTGCGATTTGTGACTTTAAGGCAAAATCTGGAGCAGAAAATGTGTGGATTTGGATTTTATTTTACTAAAGGGATATATGTTTACATAAGACATTAGAAAAACAGCAAGTTTTGGTGGGATTTCTGCATTTGTCAATGTTGATAATTAATTAATGACAGTAGATGAATTATGACCAAATGTCAATCCTATGTCTAATTACAAAATAAATAGTCTGTTTTACAGGCCCTAAAGCGCCTGATTGTTGCCTTAATATTAAATGTACATTAAATCTGTGGTAATAAATAATAAATGCTTTCGCTTGCTCCAATTTATTCAGTTGAAAATCATATAAAGTGCTTATAAATACTAAATTCGTCCTCTCGCCCCGATTTTTGAAAAAAAAAGGCCTGTAAAACAGACTATTTATTTTGTATGACCTTATATGTTATTGTTTGTAATATAGATATTACTATTTATGGTAATATTTTTTACGATTTTGTTTGTAAATTTTCTGTTTTGAGGTATTACAGAAGGGTAATATAAATATCAATACAGATACCTGTCTTATTTATACAGTATGTTATTTTCAGTTGTTAAATGTGTGCTGATAGCCAGTCCAGGGTTTGTTAAAGATCAGTTTTCGGAGTATCTATTTTCTCAGGCTATTAAACAAGATTTAAAAGTTATTACAGAAAATAAATCCAAGTTTGTTTTAGTTCATTCTTCATCAGGATTCAAACATTCTTTAAAAGGTAAGTCTGAACCCTGATATAGGTAGGTTAATATCAATCAGTAGTAAGTTTACTAATACAGTAGGATATCTTCCTTAGTAGCAAGTTTGATTATCGTCTGCTATGGAAGTGGGCTAGCTCCGTCAGGCGCTAGTTGAAATTTCCTGAAATTGAAAGTTTAAGAGAGGGAGAGATGGTCACTCTTGTATATCACATGACTGTCACATGTTTTTTCCTCTTTCCCCATTTTAATTCGATTCAAAATTTGAATCTGGTCCAAAAAATAACAATCACTAGACTCGTGTTAAATTTAGTTTACGGGTAATTATCGAATCAGAGTTCTGCTTTTAAATATCAGTTTATGAATGAAATGCCCAAAACTATGTGCTAATATTTGATGTTATTATTACAGAAGTATTAGCAGACCCTACAGTTACTGCTAGACTAGCTGATACCAAGGCTGCAGGAGAGGTCAGAGCTTTAGATGATTTCTATCAAATGTTACAGAATGATCCAGATAGAGCCTTTTATGGGTTAGTTCATTTAAGTTTATTTTGTCCACTGGCACCCAGGCGTAATTAAAATAAGACCAAACTTTCGTTCTGTTTTTTATTACCTTTTATTTTTAACAAAACACAAGACAATGTTATATGTGCTCCTCGCTTCTATATGTCGTTCAAATCTTTTATTTTTAATGTAGCAATTTCAGTGATGGCCTAAAGGTAGGCCTGTTAAACATTCGTAAACCTCTTGACCTGATGCTTTAACCAAAAAAATTCTCTTTGAATTTTGTGAGAGCTAAACTTCTTTGTGCTATTGATAATAATTGAAAGAAATATCTAAGAATAGAGAGACGGGAATTGAAACCTCAGTACATCAAATAATAATCTCATTAACTGTTGACTTTCAGTATTAAACCTATAGAAAAAGCTGCTGAATTAAACGCGATAGAAACTTTAATGGTGTCTGATGAATTATTTAGGTAGGTTGATTTGAAGTGTTAAATATGTAAGCATGGATAGATCAGAAAAAAGAGATGATTTTCTGCAATCGTTTGGCATTGAATGGTGCAATTTTAAGATATAAATTCCCTGGATATGCATTATGAGGCAAGATGACAGTAAATAAAAGCTATAAGTGTCCCAGATATACATACAAAGTATAGAACATTTTTTGGAGTTGAATTTTACACATGTATCCCTGTATGTAGAACTAACAAATTACGTCAATTTTTCTCTCATTTTAGGTCTAATGATATCAAGAAAAGAAAACGATATGTAAAATTAGTAGATTTAGTTCGTGATAATGGTGGAGATGTTAAAATATTTTCTAGTTTACATGTTTCTGGTGAACGTAAGTAGAATATAACACTTCTTCGATAGCAAATCCTGATTTAGATTCATGAAAAAGAGGAAGCTAATGCCGCTCTCCTGGCAATCAGAATCATTTTTACAAGCCAGTATCAACAGTCTCATAATTTCGGAGGCTCATGATTGGTGATATTGCTCTGCTTAGTGTAGTACATGATAAAAATGTTTTCAGATTACAACGAAACAACAACGAAACAAAATTGTAATTTAATTTAAATTAGATAGGTTTCAAACATTGTTTGTTCAACTATTTTTTTAAATTTCAGAATTAGGTCAATTATCGGGTGTAGCTGCAATATTACGATATCCCATGTCGGATGAGATGTCCGATGAAGATTAACGAACCAAAACTTTAGCCACCTAATTATAATGAACGTCTTTCAGTTTGATACTCTTGCTTGTCCCGAAATACTTCTATATATATATATGAATTGCTAAACTCTGTCAGTATTTGCTGGAGATATTGACTTAGAATACTGCTAAATTTAATTGATATTGACTACTTCGGAAATGGCCTATGGGAATTTTAATACAGACCTTGATCTTTAGACCTCTGATCAGGAGAGAAGGATTTTACTGAGGTTTTCTAAATTTTGTATGTGTTGAGGACACTGATGGCATCAATTAACACAAAAACTATTCAACTTGGAGTGAAGTCAGTCTGTGAATTTCAACAGAAAAATAATGAATGTATAATGAAATCTTCAAATGTGAAATTATAAATTCAACTAGCTTAATATAAGTTGTCTGTGTTGCTTGCTTCAAACAAGCATTGAATCTGCGTTATTTATTATTATATAACCCAGAGGATTATCAATAATTATTTTACATCCAGACCTGTACAGACTATCTTGTGATCCAAACCTGTACAGACTATCTTGTGATCCAAACCCGTACAGAATATATCGCGATCCAAACCTGTACATCTATCTTGTGATCCGATCCTGTACATCTAACTATCTTGTGATCCAAATATGTACAGACTATCTCATGATCCAAAGATGTACAGACTATCTCGTGATCCAAACAGACTTTCTATTGTGATCCAAGACTTGACCATATTGAATGTTATCTACTAGGTAGATGGAGCATGATTTTTTTTGTTAATGATTTTGTTTTTATTAAATTATTTTTAATTCTTGTTGTTGTGTTTGATATTCTGATACATGGGGATGTTATCACTACCAGTATTAACTTTAGATTAAATCAAGACGGAAACTCTTTTAACATTATTTATATATTGCAAGGACCCATAAGCCGTGTTTAGACAGGCATAAAAACTGGCCCACTTGAAGTGAACCGTACTCGGTTCGGACTAGGCCCGGTTGGGCTGTAACGTTTACACAGCACTGTTTTCACTGGGCCAAAATCAAAAGTAGACCTGCTCTCCAGTCAGAGGAGGCGAAAAAAACACAAACATACAAAATGGCGCCCGCTATAAACAAAGCTATGATTTTGAAGTTTTTGTTGAATTTGTCTCGTTTAAAGCGCAAACGAACCTTGAGAATCTCCAATTTTTTTTTTTGAGACACACAGCAATGAAAGTGCATGTTTGACGATCTCGCCACCCCAATTAGCGATCAGAACTTCGGTCTCTTCATCACTCCATGTAGCTCCCCGTTGGGCACACATTTTAACACTAAGTCGATCCTTTTTTGTCAAAGTTTAGCCTAATTTGTTATTCCCGCGAATAAAGTAACAGGGTCAAGGTCATTATTGCAAATGCGCACAAGCCCCCGGCACTAATATTTTGCCGCGCCGTACTCGTTCCGGACCGAGACCACCTCTTCTTGCGGGACTCAGCCCACTTGAAACTAGCACGGTGCCGAGCCCTCTCAACCCGTTTACACAGCCACTTTTTGTGCCGAACAGTACTCGGTTCGGACCTGGTCCGGATAAATTGTGTCTATAATAGATACCATTAATATATTTCGTGAAAGTGAAATCGAAATTGCTGTTAGGTGATGTCAGGTGTTTTTATATACAGACAAGTCAATTGTACTACTGTAGGCTACTCTCAAGCTAGAATATAACCCAGAATTGGGTGAGTTCTGGTGTTTCTGAAACACTTCACCATATGGGCGTCTGCAGTATATTTGGTAGGGGTGCCAAAGGAAATTTGACCTTGAAGTATCAGAATTAATATGTTATGGTTATTTTGGGTAATATATAAGCAGTTATTGTAATATTTTAGCTGTGTTTTGGCTGCGAACTTCCCTCTCAATATTAAAATTTAGCTAGTGTCAGCTGGCATTTTTAACATCAAAATTAAATCAGATCATCTTTCTTATGAAGATAAAAGCTGTTGCAATCCTGTAAGCAGGTCCCCTGGCTGACATTGAAAAAGGGTCAAGTCCTGAAGCCCTGTGTGTTACAAGCTGTGCCCCTTTAAAAGATCCCTGACAGTTGGAAATTGAAAAAAAAGCAGGCCAATGCAGCTGTCCTGACAAAATTGCCTTCATTGCACGACATTGGAATCATACAGTGCAAAAAATTACAGAGAATCGGTAAGAAAGACAATTCTACTGTAGAGAATTATAAGATTTATTCAATAATAGGATACAGACAACAGAATTGATAAGAACAGTACAGGCAAATATTTCTTGAATTTGTCCAAATTACATATTATGACAAGTTTGAAAATGTTTTAAAAATGACAGATACATTGCAAGTTCATAGAAAACAAATTAACCAGTCACTAGTTGTTACAAATAAGATTTTTAAGTACTCAGACATGTTAGTTTTTTTTTATGTAAATTTCTAATTTTTTTCGTTGTAACAATCAAAATCAATCTTAGTATATAATTTTCACAATTTTGATATTCATCATGATTTTCAAATAAAGTATGTTGGAATCACAATTTTTCCACAAATTTTGTCTTGTTTTCATAAAACACAATCCATTAAAAACTTAAAATTTTCATAGAATTGGATATGAAATACCTGTTAGATTAGATTAGCAATACAGATTTTAAAACCAAAATAAACATAGTTATATGGATTCTTCACAAGAGATGTTGATTTGAAGAACACAGTTACAAAGTGGCAGCAGATAAAAATTTCAAATAAAGTAATACAGTATATGATGAAGTTTTGAATAAACAGAAAATAATATAGCACTAATATAGAAGAACAAACACCAAAAATATTTCAATTTAAATGAAAAAAAATCAATTTTTAACCCAAATCTGAAGAAATAATAGCAACTCCTCTCTCGTAGAAACTGTGATCCTTGCCTTCAGGTTGGAAATCTAAGGTAAACAGTAACTGAGCTCTAGTAGCATTCAGATAAACTGGTAGAGTTACTTTTCCTTGACTTGAATCTTTTCCATCAGACCTGAAACAAGATTGATTCAAATGAAAATAGAGATCTTTCAAGAAATTGTGTCCTATTCTTCTGCACTTGATAAAACTAATTGAGACTGGCTTTTTGTCGAGATACCAGTATTAGCCAACTTGTTTTCCTTCGACATCGTCAAGGGATCTTTCACATACATAGACTGTAGCAGTAGCACACAGGGTTCAGTTTAATGTCCTATCAGGACGACTCAACACTTTTTCCATATCTGCCCCTCCGACCTGCATCAAATTTTGGATATAAAAGAATAATTTTACCTGATCCATCGTAAGAGAGTTAAAGGTAAATCAGTAGAAATATTGGATGATAATTCTAGTTTATTTTCATGACAAACAGCTCCCTGTGATTTCAATCCTGGAAAGAATTAAACAGACATTAAACTTTACGTCATTCTTGAGAATTTGAAAATCTGATTCTTAAAGGGAAATTTCCAAAAATGTATGAACAGAATTCTATAGAAGCTTGAAAAGAAATAACTGAGACTGTTGAAATAGCAACTCCAATAGCAACTTGAGGAAAATAAAAAAAATTCATTTTATCATCGGTGAATTAATGTTTTCTTCATCAGTGAATGTCTATTGTACAGTCTGTTTTTCATTCTAAGCCATTTCAAAATCTATCTGATCATCCTACAGCACCCAAATAGAGGTTGAATTAAGGTCATAGGTGAATCAAAAGTAGCGAGGCTTTAATCAAATCTAAACCAGAATATTCAGAGTTGACTTACCAGTAACACTGAAGCTACAAGCATCCAAAACCTCAGAATTTCCACTCAGTACTCTAACCTATAAAACACAAAGATAATTCATGGTAAATTCATACCATCTTATATCATGTCAATATTGTAAGTAAACTTAAATCATATCAATAAATCATAATCTTATATCCTATTATTCAGCCCAGTCTAGAGCACACAGAGTCTTTTGACATTGTAAAGATATTCTAAAATTTAATCTGTATTTCCTACAGTATTGATTCATACCATTCAAATTTTCAATCATAAGTCTGTGGTTCTTGCAATTCAACCATGAGTTATTTTTACCTTTGACTGAGTTGCAATACAAGTCAGCCAGAAAGTGTGTATCTCGTTCATCTCGGCCCTTCTCTGATTTGGCAAACAAGCTGCTACTTAGTGAGCCATCACTACATAGAAATATACTTACATCAAGAGCAAGTTCTTCTAGAGACCAACCATTAGCTTGAGCTACATATTGTCTGGTAGCTGTGATATAGGCTTCAGGTATAAACAGTCCACCTAGCCACACATTAATATTCTAAAATAAACAGTAATAAAACAACCCTAATCAAGAATTTGATGATAAATCAGAGAAAAGTGATGATTTTCCAATTCAAAAAACACTAATACTTATATAAAATATAAGAAATTAGCAAATCAATATGTTCAAGTTCTACAGGTTCTGATTTTCTTGAAATAGAATTCCTTTAATCATAGGCTTAGTAAAAATGATTCATTTCTTTCCCATATTAATTTTATCTTTAATCTTCCAAGTGGAGAAACTGACCTTGAGCTCCTTGGCGCCACCTGATTGTGTTGTCTTGACTATTTTCTGTAATTGTTTAATTCTCTCACTGAAATCTGTAATCCATTGAATAACAGTCAATCCTGCTGGTACAGTGTATCTTCTCCAAGTAGTTGGTATTATACCTATAATAACAATAAGTGAATAAGTACGAGTAAAAGACCCACGCAGTACTAACATCAAGTTACCTGTAGCCTGAAATTTTGAGAGAGTTGAACAAGTTTGGTATTCAAAAAATAAAGGTGATAATGACATATGCCATGACTAATCATCACAGGAAATGATTAATCACTAATCAAATATAATATTAGATTTCACTGATTGAACTCAAGATATTATGTTGATCAACATTTGACCATTAGGAGTGTTTTTACCAATTCCCCTCAAAACCAGCAACCCCTGTAAAACGTAATTTTCAGTTAGTTTGTCTGCCGGTTTAAAATTATTTAATGTGTTACCTTTAACAAGTTCTGACATCATAGTACGATGATGATTGGTTGCCTTCTTTTCTCCTTGACAAACCTTGGCCAAGTCGTTTAGATCTAGTCTCACATCGTGAAGTAACTTGGCTCCAGCATTGACCTCCCTTTCAAAGAATCTGAACAATGGATCTTTAATATTCTCCACTGTTCTCTTCATGGAACTGAGTGTCTAAAAATAAGTCAGAATTCAGATTAAGTTTGGTTCCTTTGTCATGAAAGATATTTGGGTAATAGTGCACATCAGGCTCTGGGGTCAAGAATAATTCAAAACAGATACAACAATCCATTTTTATCTTTAAAGTAAAGTAATGAACACAATATAATTGAGGTTTTACAGCAATGAAAGCCATATAATATTGGCTCATGTAGTTTTGTTGGTAGAGGTGTTTAGTTGCTCAATTCAGAAGTATATGGACTATCCTACATGGTTTTAGATTGTCATTAACTTTAATCAACTTTAAAGGCAGGTTTTTCTTAACTCGAGCGTAGCAAACTTTACAGCTCAGCTATGAAGCAAAGTTTCACCTTCGCAAGTTCATTTTCAAGCTAGGCAAAGAAGTAGTATTTGGTCCTACTTCTTCGCTACGTTATGGTCTTGACAATCAATCAGAGACAGACCAAACAAACTGGCGTTGACATTGTGAAGATCTTTATCTTCACTTCGGTCTTTAGCTTAGCAGAGTATAAACTGGCCTTAACACACGTACAACACTGTTTATCTTAATCACTTACAGATCCTAATCGGGCTAATGAAGGTTGGCAAAACAAAACAGTGTGCAAAAAGGGAAATTTTACCAGGACAGCTGGATTTGCCTATATTTTATTTCAAATGGTTAGGTAATTTTGGATCTTTCAGGGTTCTTGAAGTAAAAGAAAATGCCAGAAGAGTGCAACGAGGGAAATATTTTCAGGACAATGGAATTCAAACTATGCCATGTTGGAATCCTGGCCCTGTATTCTCGAAACAATCTTAGACCTAGGATGTCCTAGGTTCTTATCTTCTAACATTGTTTCTAGGATTTACTAGCATTAGGATTGTTTCGAGAATACGGGGCCTGGATCCCAAAGTTCGTCTTAGCTTTTACAAACAAACAGTGACAACTACTTGTGGGTCTTGGGTTCTTGTATTATATGAAGGATTTCAATATTTTTAAGGGAGAGAACTGTGCTATTGGATAAATCAAAGGTAAAAATTGACTGCAATGAAACTAAGTACTAATAAATACAGATATAATCTCTACATTCTATGGAATCAATTTTCATGATTTAAGCTAACCAATCAAAAACGCTGTTTAAAGAGACGGGAGAATAAAATTCCATTTTTAACAATGAATATCCCTGAAATCTACAATTCTAATAAGTAAATCTTTTTTTGAACAGATCATTTGATTGGTTGAATATGGAATGACCCAGAACATGAGATGCTTGACAATTTCTTCAGATCATGGACGGCAAGTGGAGTCACGAAGTGGAGAAAAAACACGAAACAAATCTTTCAGATTTGAATTTTCATGAGATTGAGTTGTTTAGACAGGAATTTAAATCAAAAACTAGAGACACCCATTCCTTAAAACACTTTAAAATTTGATGTGAACATTCACACTAAGACAAAACGAGATTTAAAAAAAAAAACAGACATCGTAAAAGGGTTGAAAAGGGAAACTAATTGGAAATGAAACAAGATAAAAGTTACCATTGAACTAGTCTAAAACAAAATAAAAATGAAAATAAAATATTGACAAATGGCCAGTCCTAACAAAATAAAAATGTAAAAAATTTTCTGCTGAATTAAACCGTCACCGAGACTATCTTAATATTTAAACCCATTTCCTGTTTCTCACCTCATCAGCTTCTTCCTGTTAGTTTAATTATTTTAATGTTAGTAAAAGTTATATAGTATTGTTTGCTTAGTGTATATTAGCTAAACAATTTCCCATTTCTGAGACCAAAGCATCATTAACCTCCAAATATGACGAATCATGGATATTAATAAAATTTTATCCTTTTAATCTTTGCTGAAAAAATCTACTAAATTCAAACAAGCCCTGCTATTTGTGCAGATCTGAGGACAATTACAAACATAAACGTTTATTTCATTTTGTGATAGGATGAAACTCAACAGTGAATTGTCCTCGATAAGCACCATTATCTGTGTTCCATTATAATACTACTTCCTCATGTGAACAGTTCATTAGCTATAAGATTTGAACGACATATAGTTCATTAGCTGCTACCAATGTTTCTCCAAAATTTTTTATTGGATTTTTTGGTTTGCTTTGCGGTTTGGATTGTTAGTACTTGGTTTATTATTAACTATATTAATCAAGAACACTATATAGTTGTACTTACAGGTGGTACCAATTTCAACCAAGTAACAACAGACGTATGAACTGTTCTCATCCAGGCTGGTCGGCCATCTTCCATTCTCTTCTGTTGATCATCTGAAGAATCCATATTAGTATCTTCCTGTTCTAATATCTCCATCTTCATTAATTTAGCTGTGAGGTCACTTCCTGGTAACGAGATGAAATGTAAAATGAAAGTAGTAGTCTATGGGAGGTTAGAGAATTTAAGTTAAGGTACCAGTATAAATGGATTGAAAAGTTTTTAGTTTCCATCAAAAGTGAATTTTTGAGGCCCCTTTTTAGCAAAAAGATAGACTATGAAATGTATCAAAGGCAAATCTTTAAATCCTGTTACACAATTTATCCCACAATTCTTTGCACATGGAGAGAAAATTTAACTTGTTTCCGGTTTCACAATAGATAGGCCTACATCAATATTATGAATGGTCAATTTACGAATACAACATTGAGGAACAAAGCCTACCTTGTGTAGTGAGTAGAACTTTCTCTGCATTATTGGGTAATCCCAACCAAGATGGTGTCTGTCTGTCCTCCATTTTGTCAACAAAACTAACAAATTGTTCACGTCTGCAATGAAAAAATACTGGATGAGTCAAAAAAAAAAAAAAAAAAATACTTGGTTCTACTCTTCTGCAGTTTCAACAAATGGGAGAAACAAGGAATTTTTCGTCCTAATGTTCATTTTATTGGACTTTTTGTCCATTTCTAATTTTTTTTCCATCTCAAAGCTAGAGTCAGTCCTTTTATCTCACCATCTAATTTTTAAAAATTGTCAAAATAAGAGCAGGACTTGTATTTAGTGCAACACTTCATACAATATGGTATGAAGAAATCAATGTTTCACATGTTAATGATAAAAATGTTTCAAATCTTACCTTACTCCATCAGGCATGGTGATATTTTTACCGGCAACGCCATCTATATTACTGACTAGAGTAAACTCCCCTTCAAAACTCTTCGGTGTGAACAGTTTATTCACGAAGGTGCTCAGTAGTCTCTGGAGAAACAAGAAATTAAGGTATTAATCTAAACTTAACACTGGCATAAATTCAGACAATTTTGTAAAGAATTGATGGTCATTCAGGTGGAAATGAATCTTATGGCATTGTTTGCCCAGTTGTCCATTTTGATAAAACTGTTTCACAAAAATGTTCGTCTTCCATTCATTAACCATTGACATGACAGGTTGGAAAGTTTTAATAGAACTATTATTGGTTAGAGTGTTTGAAAGGTTTCAAGGTACTATAAACAGAAGACACGATATGCAAGGAAAATTAGTGTAAGGAAATTATACAAATTCTTACCTGATCAAAGTCATTGTCTATTTTACCACCGTAGATACATTGTGATAACAACGTTCGGATTGCATCCCATGGAACTTTCTCTGGAGGCAAGTTAGTACGACCCTGAAATATCACAACAAGGGGGGTTAATTTTATAATTCCTGTTTATCATTTGGCAATTCAAGACATGCTTATATACTCTAAAATCAACATAATACAAATTTTGATAATGATTTTCTTGCAAACAAAAATTATAAGAGAACAATTCAGCCCCAATTAATGAATTATATTATTTCATTCAAAATAAATAAGGTTTCACTTTAAGGGATTGTGATGACGTTTTCTAAAATTGGTATGTGTATTAGAGACTCAGACAGCAACAATATGCAATAGTGACCTTTATCTTAATGGAATTACAAGAATCACAGACATCTGACTGAAAATTGGAATGGTAAAAACAACTATATCAGTGTTCTCAATACACATAAAAATTTAAGAAAACCTCTTTACAATCCTTTTAAACATACTCCCAAATAAAGCAGTACAATATGCTAGCGATAATGGGAACTTACTCAACGCATAGCCTCGAAATAAATACCCAAAATAATCAGAAGCACAATACGCCTTGTATTCTATTATTTATATGGCTGGAAAGCTGGACTACATTGAAAGCTACACTGACAAGCTTTCTAGTGCAATTAATTTATCAAAAGAAATGGTGCCAAATTACAACTAAAATAGAACCCAAAAATGTCTAGAAATTTTAAAGATGGCATGCAATGACAAAATGAAAAGATTTTTAGATATTTCATAAATAAATTGAGATTTAAAAATCAACCAAACCCCCTCCCCCAGCACCCTCAGTCAGGGTCAGTCACATTGAAAGCTACTTTTAAGCTTTTCAAACAGGGGATGAGATGATCAGGCAAATCCTATGCTTCAAAAAATATGATATAGAAGTTTTATATCCTAGTTATCAGTGTCTATTGGGCTTGCGAAGTGTGTGTCATTTAACTTAGAGGCTCTCAAGTTTTACCCCATTTGAATGAATAGCTCAGTGGTATGCAAATCACTCAGACTAATAGAAACACGGTTAATGAAGCACGGAGCTACACAGCTCCAAAAAAATCATAGAATTTGACTTAACATCCCATTCTAGGGTAAAAACTATAAACTTGAGCAATAGTGTGATGAATAGAGATTGAAACCAAATCCGGAATGATAAAATAGCTACCAAAACCGAAACCAGTTAAAGAAGGTTTGATGAAACCGGTTACTCAACTGCATTTTCTGATGTCTGTAAGAACACCAAAAAATATTGAATTTAAAATTCAAACACTTGGCTGAAGTTTTGCACCGCATTTTGTAGACGCGCTATCTGTTTCATTAGTTCATTAATTTTGAATTAGGGAAAAAACTTTTATCTTTTTAGGTTTCTTGATCAAATGCCACAGAGGGCAATAAATTACAAGACATCTCTGATGCCTCAGCCAACACTTTTGTGTAAATCAGATCTTTTAATTGAGAGTTGTTTAGTTGATTTTGTCTGCAACAATTAATTTGGGTTAAAAATTGTGAACCAAAATCTTTTGACTAGCAACGAAAATTTGCAAATCAGAATACAGCAATGGCCTTTTTGAAAAGGCTTATACTTATAGAGCAGGGTTCAATTTAAGTGGTATTGCATCACAGATTGCAATTCAAAATATCTCTTTTGCCATCCAATATTTCCTTTGATTATCATGACGATCAAATTGTAATTTTGGAGGTTTACTTCTGAAACATTTTGAACTGCTACCGAATTTTTAAGAAATGCGAATAAAAATTGAACTTGATTAGCCAAAACTATAATTTTGTGTGATAAATTGCTAATTTTTCAATCTGAATTAAACCCTGCTATAGAGATTAGTATTTTAAGCCAATTATAAAATAATAAAATTCTACGTACCAGAGCAACTGAGTCCACCCAGGTATCTAACATATCGCAAGCTACACGTAGATCAGACTCTGTGAACTCATATTTCTTGGCCCAACCCAGTGGGGTATATCTCATTCTTTCTTGTACTATAGCATGGAACCACGCCAGTAGGAAATACAGACGTGATCTCTCATTTGGTGCCTGAAATTTCATCAAGATTGGATCAATCATAAAACAGAAATATAGTAAAACAATAATATCTTCTGACTTCTAACTTCAAGGGATTGTAAAGGAGTTTTGAAAAAAACGATCCATTTTATACAAAAAAGCCAGGGAAGATAACTCCCATAATTCTGGCAAGAAAATCGTAAATACATAATATCCTCACAAGTCTTTCTAGAATTACAGGAACCACAGATGATGCATTTAAAAGCCATAAACGTCCTCGATACTCATAAAATGGCAAGAAGTTCCTCTTGATAATTTCTCAGCTTATCTGGTATCTGGCACAATCAATCCACATACACTCAGCAACATCAGTGAAAGAATATAACTTTACAATAAATAAATAAGCCTCACCTTACACATCCTGGAGGCTGGTACAGTACTAAAAGTACGAGTCAAGTTAGCAGCGACACCTGGTGGAGGTTCAAACACAAATACACGACCAGCTCTCAATAGATTAGTTGGTAACTAAAAATAAAATTTATTACCAAATCAGGAGAATGTCACACCCATAAGTCTTTGTATAAGGTTTTATAATAGATACTCTCTTATAGAAGCACTGGTCTAGGCCACAAGTAGAAACTGTAGATTTCAGCATTTGAATACATCAATTTCATACGAAATTACTTTCTTCTGGAGAGATTTTGTGTAACATATTACCAATATTGTGCCGTCATGAGTTACAACTACTCATGGGGCTTAGAAATGATGAAGTTATGACAAGACTAAATTTGCGGAAAACATTTTTTTTTAGATATTTAGGACCATGCACCAAATTCAGAAACCGGACATGATATACAGATGAAAAGTCAGGTCAGCACATTGTTATCTTTTTGTCAGGTCATTCTAGCTCCATCCATGCGCTTTGATATTTTGATATTGACATCTGCAAAAAGTAATTACTGAAACAACAAACCTTGGGATTAATTTCCATGGTCAAGAAAAGTCTGAAACTAGGATGAGGGGTTAGATTATGTAGTTTTTTCTCTAGTTGTACCAACCATTGTGGTGCTAGATGTACATTCTTTAATACCACCCAACGTCCTGATTTACTGGACGAGTTTATCACTTTATCAGCTAGAGTAAACCCTTCAGCAGAACCTAAATTAAACATAATATTGTTTATTATATATAGTTCTGGGGCCTTATTCTTGTGTTCCAGTCATCTGATTGGTCAATCACTAAAAATGATCTTAAATTTCGGTTTGATATCCAATCAGATTACTGTATTTCTTAAAATCTGAATTTTATTTAAATCAAGTTTTGTAGAATAAGGCCCCAGGTCATAATTTATTATTCACCAAGATAGGTAAGCTAAGATTACGTGTGAATTTTTGTCTTGAATCAAAGATTATGGTTGTGTAATCTGCAAATGTACAAGGTGTGGTGTCCAGAGCTAGTCCATCAAATATTGTGGACAGTATTTATTATCGTATTCAACATCATACACTGGACCGGACACTAACTGGTCTAAACACAGCTTGAAAAGTTACTATTGACAGAACAGACCCATCATTAGGATGAGGTCCATCGAGACGGGTCCCCAGCAAGTGAGAATTAAACCCCATCAAAACTTTCTTCAGTTCAACAGAGATTGATTCATTTGCAGTGTTTTTGTACAAAATAAAGGCGATAGGGTTTGATATGTTTTTGGCATCTCAATATTATCAGAAATGAGTTCTCTGGACCTTTAATTCTCCAAATTTTCTCTGTACAAAATCTGAGCCCCAGCACCAATTCATTCCTGGCGACAGGGTTGGACCAGAAGTTATTGACTAAGCAATAAAACTACATACCAATAGCAATAGGTGTAATCTGTTTATTCAACTCAGCAGCTAAATCATCCACTCTACCACTAGCATCATATCCTGGTACTGAACACATCAATACAGGTGTATTAGCTTTTATCTGAAAATACAACATCCAATACAACTTATTATTCTAGTTTCTATCTCAGATAAATTTATTAAACAACTTAAAAAATGTAAGAATTAACCTGTTGAGTTCACAAAACTTTTTGTGGTATTTTGTGTTTTCTACTGCACAAATTTCATATCAATCAAATCAGAAGGAAAAAATATTTTTTTGATTATTGATTATGTGTTGTCAATATACACATGTGGCCATAGTGGAAATATTTGAATTGGATTTCCTAAAATTTGTTTTAAAAAACGAATTGTTTACCTCATTTTCTAGAATTTCTCCTAAATTAAGTTCCTTTTCTCCAGCATGGACAAAATCAGATCCAAGAGTTTTGTCTACGAATAATCTGGCCATAGCAATCAGTCGATCTTGTCTGAATACTTGTATCAATAACAGACCATACACAGATTTACCAATTTCACCTGAAAATAATTGTATCAGTTTGGTATTACTTTTACAGTGAGAAATTTCAACTTTTAAACGGCACAGACATAAGTGATGAACCACAGTATTCTCTAGGCTTTTATCATGGTATAAATTCCCATGAAAATTGACATTAAAATATGTCTGGCCTTAAACATACGGTAGTTCCGATATCCCATCTGAATACTACTACAGAAGAACTGGGTAGAGATTTGTGGGGCAAGGTCAAGGTTATAGGTATAAATATAGCTTAATATAATGATGACGATATACTTACTCAATGGCTTAGATTCGTCCCAGAGTTGTGGTACATTAGCTTCTGGGGTAGCGCTTTCGATCCATTTCTTAAACTCAGCCTGAAAATTAATACAATTTTATTACACATTTAATTCAAAGCTAGTTGACCTGTTGCAAATCTCAAGAAACCATAGGTATCAGGGGATGAATGCCAACACTGGGCTAACCCTCGTAAGCACTGGCACAGGCATCAGAATTTTTCTTAAATATAGGGTAATAGTCAGGTGCTTTATATTATTAGAATACTCTGCCTGTAAATTGCTGGATGTGATGTGGTTTTTCTGAACAAAATGCTATATTATCGAATGATCATTATAAACTATGTGGATTCTCTGANAGGGATGTGGAATGTACAAACCTAATTACAAATCAAATAATATTGCCTTTGTAGACTGTCAGAATTGGATGAAGACATGATAAACCAAAAAACCAATGAAAAATATTCAGAGCTTTGTGGACTCTCTGAAAGGGATGCCAAGTTAAGTAACCAAATACCAAAGAAATATCATTGACCACAACAGCAACAGATGATTTCTGTGTAATCTATGTGAACTCTCTAGATTCAAAACAGATAAATCAGCTGACAAATAGCAAGATTTTAATGAGACCTAAATTACTTACAGCATTACTCTTGATTTCACCTGCCAGATTTTTAAAGGCTGGTAATTTACTTAATCGTACTACATCAGCTTGCTGTAATATAAAACACAATATATTATTGATTAGTTTTTGGAGAAATAAAACCTAAGGACTTCAGCTTAGATTAATTCAAGCCTTCCCATCATCTGAAACAATTGATATCTTTTCAGAGCAAACAAAGTTCAAGGAATTTTAAGGTAAAAACAAAAACCTTGTATAAACTAAACGAACATCAATGATGCAGAATTGAAAAACCCAAATAACAAAATAACAATCAATACATTGAGTAGAATAGTAACAAGAGGTGTTGAAATTGTAAAAGTTGTATTACCTGTTGGGAAGTGAGACCCTGGGTAGCAGACGTCTGTTTTTCTGTGATCAAACCTTCTTGACTTCGTAAGAAATAACTGAACTCTTCAGTGTATGCCGTTTCACTGAAATAATACATATAATAATATAGTTTAAAACTAAATATTGATCAGACAAGTTGAAAGGTTATAGTTCGCCATTTTGAGGGGTTGAATTTGGTCTTGAATATTGGTAAATAGTCTTCAGAAGTACTAGAAATGTACGAATATCACATAATTTCTTCAGATATATCTCCAACTAGGAATTTCACTTTCTATTTCTAAATATGGCAGTGTCTCCAAAAAAGATGAGTCTCATTCAAAAAATTCATGATAATTTGAAGGTACAAATTTTAACATTGAGCTGTGGGCACTTTAACTGATTAGCCGATTCCTGTATATAGTTTATACGAGCGTTAATGTTGTCAACCTAGACCACTTCAAAAGGCTGGAAGAAATTAACCAATAAAAGCATACAAACCTTGCAGTACTCTGTAAATGTATACGACATAACTGAATAGCGAAGGTAATTCTATCATTAAATAACATACCTCTACCAACACGACTGTATGTCTCCTACAATATATACAATAGAAATAGTTATCATCTTGATCTCTACACAATAAAAAAATAAAATATGGTTTCTCATATTTTATTTACACGAATTGTGACAGCATCCATTTTTCACCTTTCCAATTTTCTGTGGTTCAATTTTATAAGGACAGCAGCATTAACCTAATCTTTATAGATTTCCAACTGTTGATGGTTCTTAGATTTGCACAGCCTCAAGCACAAAGAAAACTAGATGCTTTTTCCTCAGACCTGTATCACTGGGTTGTCTGTCTTCAATATCCCAATTAAGTAGAGAAGATTAAGACGTAAAATGTGATGTGACAAGGGGGAAACCTGGCTAAAGATCGAAGGTATTATCTCACCCTATGCCAGGATCGTACCCTGGACCTTCAGGAGCAAGCATCTAACTTATTGAGCTACAGCAGATCCCTTACATATAAACAGAATAAGCACACTCAACCAGTACCTACCTGGAACAAGTCTGTAGTAATAATCGACAATCGGGAGGCGTATTCCTTCACTCCATTCAACCTTGGGTTGTTTGATAACACAGAATGGAAAATCTCAAAAAATAGTTGAAGTGAATACTGGTACAGGAAGTGAACCTGGAAAACAGAACAGCCAACATTTAAATCAAATATCTATCTTTTTAAATTTAATTTTCGAATTCGATCCATCATAAAACAGCTAAGGGGGATCTCATTTCAATTTTTTACTTCTTGTGTAGATTCTTTTGTAGTCCAGATCTAAACTCAAATAGGCATTGCGTAAGACCATTGAACAAGCACTAGCCTTTCAACATCTTTCCCTCTGCGCCTTTGACACGTCTCAAAGAATAGGGCGAAAAGGTGAAAAAACAACCCAGTCTTAATATGACCAAAGGATGGCTCTACATTAAAATACAGACCTGTTGTAGAGCCTCTAGTGTAAAATATATAGAACTACATGACTGAGCTAGTGGTACGTATTGTTGAGATGTAGTTTCTACTTCAGCCATGACTACGTCTGTTTCTTCTACTTTCCTTGCTACCTCAGCAGCCTCTGTTTTTAATGTTTCAAGATGGCTCAAAATACTGAAATTCAAATGGAAGATTTTCAAATTAAAGACATTTTAACCTACAATAATATATAAATTTCATACTTTTAAAATTTTTAATGATGAATTTCAAATATTCAACAGATTTGATAATCAAATTTTGAGAAAAAGTTTCTGACCACCAAGGATGTATTTTTTGACTTGCAGTGTCTGACTGTCCAAACTGGGGGTGTCTGGCTGTCCAGACTGGGGGTGTCTGGTTGCTCGGACTGAGGGTGTCTGGCTGTTCGGACTGGGGGTGTCTGGCTGTTCGGACTGGGGGTGTCTGGCTGTTCGGACTGGGAGTGTCTGGTTGCTCGGACTGAGGGTGTCTGGCTGCTCGGACTGGGGGTGTCTGGCTGTTCGGACTGGGAGTGTCTGGCTGTTCGGACTGGGGGTGTCTGGCTGTTCGGACTGGGAGTGTCTGGCTGTTCGGACTGGGAGAGTCTGGCTGTCTAGAATTGGATCAGACTTGGTTATTTTAATGCAACTTAAATGTGCCAAGATATTCCCCCACTAAGAAACTTCATACGAATATAAAAACCAACAAACCTGTCATCATCTAGAATCTTTCCTTTAACATCATTGAGAGCTTGTAGTAGAGATTTCTCTAGTTGTCGTAATCTCAACTGGAATTCACCTGTTAAATTTATGTTAGATATTAGCTCAATGAATAACAATATTTCAATCTATTTCGTGAACTTCCAGTTCTGATGTTATTAAAAAGACATATATTCGTCAATAAGGAACTTACCTTGTAATTTGAGTAGATCGGATCTCTTTTCATCCACATCTGGTCGTTCAGACTTTAATACTTGATTCAAACATTGACTCTGTAAACTACTTCTTGTTACTGTGAAGTTGACAAACGTGACTCGGGAACAGATATCTGGTGGAAATTCAACCTAGAATGATATTGGGTATCATTAAAAAACCAAATCCTCACTGATCATAAAGAGAAACCTAAACAAAACCCAATTACCCTTGTCTTCTGAGGACTAATAAATGCCTTTTTCCTAAAATGGGCCAGTATTTTATGTCAGATCCTTGATGTTTTTAAAATAAATTAGTTTCGAATAATTGCCACGATTAATTTTTATCATTATTTACATATATTAAGAACAAGAGATACTGCATACAATGAAGGACTGTCAATCTATAAGTAACGTAAATAATAACGCTACTTACATTTGGGTCTCTTGTAGACAGGAAGATGGTGAAAGAGGGAGATAAATCAATATCTTGATCTCCAAGAGTTATCAATACACGACCACCTGTTCTTCTTAACTCACGATTTAATACAGGATTTAATATAGGATCATAACTTTCTACATCCTGTAACATAGAAAATACAGTCACGATTTAATACAGGGTTTAATATAGGATCATAACTTTCTACATCCTGTAACATAGAAAATACAGTCACGATTTAATACAGGGTTTAATATAGGATCATAACTTTCTACATCCTGTAACATAGAAAATATAGTCACGATTTAAACTTTCTACATCCTGTAATATAGAAAATACAGTCACGATTTAATACAGGGTTTAATATGGGATCATAACTTTCTACATCCTGTAACATAGAAAATACAGTCACAATTTAAACTTTCTACATCCTGTAACATAGAAAATACAGTCACGATTTAATACAGGGTTTAATATAGGATCATAACTTTCTACATCCTGTAACATAGAAAATATAGTCACAATTTACTACAAAGCTTAATATAGGATCATAACTTTCTACATCCTGTAACATAGAAAATACAGTCACGATTTTCACCTCTCAGGCAAAAGAATAGTAGAATATTTAACAGTAAGAAATTGTATAAACTTTCATGTTGTGAACTGAATATTCACCAGGTTAAAGAAGTACTATAATTGAAGACATATACTATATAGTATAATAATTTGAATATCAACAGAATAAAGATTACCTGAACGAGTAGAGGATTACCAAATCGTAGAGCACTTTCTAGATTCTTACGGAAAGCATCATCCAAGAAACTGAAAAGAAAAGTTCAAATTGACATCTCAACTACATATTTTCATCGAATGCTATATGCACTATGGTTAAAGTAAGGCCTGTTCTTCAGTTTCATACAATGGCATTATGTGACTGAGTATGTCAACTCTGAGCTTTCCTCTGACAATCAGAGAGATCACAAAGTTAATAACATGGTGGTAAGATAAGAAAACTTCATTACTTCCAGAGAATCCACATATCTATTAAATTAATAGTATTAATGTTCAGCATTTACGTGAGAACTTGGCATCCTTTCAAAGAGTCGACATCGCAAATCAAGTTTATTTGGTATATTTATCTTCTAAAAGATTTTTCACATCTTCAAAATAAAAATTAACCAAAATTTCTTGTGTGCACACTAAAAATAGGATTGTTTTTTTCAGTTGGTCATTCAAAAAATTTGATAGGACGTAAAACTCCATTTCATTTTCATTTTCATTAAATTAGATAAATTTACCTTGTTTTAGTAATTTTCTTCTCCTTGTATTCGTTCATAATGAAATCTGTGGCCTGTCCCGAGGGGTCAATTATCAGGGGGTAACGATTGAAGCGTTTTAACATGATGGCATTCTCTGTACACAGATCATCGGATGGTAGAGCGTTGGCCTGCCATCTTAATCTCTCATCAGCATTTGATAGATACTGTAAATATATATTCATCAAAATATAGCCAAAAACATTCATATATCATTAAAGTGATTGTAAAGAGGTTTTCTAAATTTTTCATGTGTGTCGGGGACACCGCAAGCATTAATTTGCACCATTTCAATTTTTAGTCAGATGTCTGTGGTTCCTGCAATTCCACTTATAGTGTTTGATGATGTCAATAAGGGCCTCATCGAATAAAGCATATTTAGAGATTAGTGACGCCAAGTGTGAGCATATAAGATAACAAAACCTTACCTCAGATCGTGCTAGATCAGCTCGGAACTGTATATTAGCTTGTGAAAGATGGCCACACCAACTACTAAATAAATTACGTCTCATCTGCTGATCAAAATAACCTGGAAAAAAATAGAGTTTTAGAAATTCTCTAATGCTGCAGACACACAAAAGTTTTTTCGCCAACTCTGAGTAAAATCTCACACGTGCCTTCACTTCCATAAGATATTATCACGTTTCCAACAGGATATCATAACTTACCAGCATAGGCCATGAAAGCTGAGGACAACAAGGTATCTCCTATTATAGTTGCCATCTGATTTTTAAATGTTTCACTACCGGCCTCCCATCTTTGTTTTTCGCTACCCAGATTGTTCAATAAGGCTACACTTCTCTCGACCTGAAACAAACAAACAGGACTCGTGTGAAATCTGTCATATCTGATAATAGCTCAAATTTCTCTTCAACAAAGAATGATGCCATTATTACATCTGAAAAAAAATGTTTCTATACCTCAGTGGAATTTCTAAACCTAAATAACATCAGCTTGACTGATTTTAATTTCATGTTTTTGATTTGAATTGACCCAGAGGAGCAGTTCACTTTATTTTGATATAGAATAAATAGAAAATAAATCTAAACAAGCCAGACTTATTCTGTCCATAATTACTTACACTTTGTAAAAATAACAGTGATTGTTAATGTTTCTCTTTTAAATAGGCATGTGAAAAAATATTACAACTTTTTATCAAAGAATGATGTAAAACAAACCTTGGCTTCTACGGCAGCTAGACTGGCTTTAATAGCCTGGGCTTCACTGATCAACCCGGCATATTCATCTTGATATTGAGCGATACTGTTTTCTAAATCTTTAATAAGTTTCATGACTTCATCTCCTTTACGTTGGTTTTCCTTGGCTTTATCTTCTAAATCTTGTAGTTCATTACGAAGTGGTTCAACTCTGTTTAACATGTCAGCATATTGAATCTATAATTAAAATGGCAATTCAAAATTAAATGACAAAGAAAACGTTGGACAAAAGGAATATAAATTTGTGTCTTATTGCTGGAAACAGGCCCTGGAACCCCTTTTTCAGATATTTCATTTCTGGAGATAGTCAGTATGGTGTGTGATAAATAAAAGAATGTTTTCAGGACAAAATTGATATAAAAAATTGATCATGCATCACTGACATATGGATGGGTATCCTTTAAGTTCATCTGTTTTCAGCCGTCTTCACTACGTATTTGCTACCTATGAATGGCTAGCTTCAGATATTCTTTTGAGCCTTTCTTTAAATCTAACCATATAAATTATGTGTCTGAGAATGATGGGCATCGAAATTTTACCAGTTATTCCATAAAGCTGTGTCTATATAACATGTAAATTATCTGAAATGACAAGTAGGTAACGGTACAAAAGCCTAATACTGACCTGTGCAATAGCCCATTTGACCATAGGACCACACGCTAAACTAGCTCTGTTCACTTTCTCATAATTATAGTCTGGATTACTCAGGTATTTATTCTTCATCTTATTACGAATCTCATCACTGAAAAAAACAACCATATTGTTAACATAAATATATCAAATATTAGTTTTTAATATTCATTTATATCAGGGAATTTCAATCTTTGCATTCTATTAGCCCTATTAAGGTCTTTGATCGATTAAATTAGGCAAGTTAGGAATTTTTTTCAGAAAAGCATGACATGAAAACGTTAACGTGTCTTCAAGAAATGTACTTTTGGAATTCCAATCAGACACGACGGGTAAATACAATTCATCAGCCATGGACCAACAACAACCATGCTACCCTGCAAAATCCCACCCTCGACGTGTACAAACCTGATATCATTAGTATCCATGTTAATTAAATTAGTAATAAAATTCTCCTTCATTATCACAGCTCTGATAGTCTTCCAATCACCGGAGCTCTCCCCTAGTAGTAGACAGATCCCCTCTAGGGCCAACTTAACAACTGGGGGTGGGTTACCCATAGATCTGATCTCTACAAGGTGCTGTTTCTTGATGGACTTTACAGCTAATAAAGTTGAATTATTTATAAATATTGTAAAATAAATAATGATATTAAAAAAGTTCCTTGGAAGAAGATAAATTTAACACTGTAAACTGTTTTTTTTCAAAAAGACTTTTTGGGATAGAGTAATGCCACAATTACATAAAAGTTAAATTTTTTCCAGAAATATCAAAACTCATTTAATTTTTGTCCTGTATATGAAAATATAGCATCTTGAATAAAGAAAATATCTATCAAGTTTTCCAGCATCAAAATTCATCTTCAGAAAGGAACTCTTCAAATACCATAATAAATAGTCCGAAACATCTGCTTGTATTCCAGCCTCTGATACATTTTTTTACAGTTATCAGTTTGAGTAGTGTCAGAAAAACCAGGCGTAATTAATATCTATCTGAGGCTGGAATAGAGGTAGATGTTTCGGTCTATATGATATATTGATAAAGACGTAACTTACGTTATATCATCAGTAGTAAAATTAATGATAGTTGAGATAAAATTATCTCTCATGATTACACTACGCAGAGCTTTCCAGTCCAGATCACCTTCTCCGAGCAATACACAGATAGATTCTACGGCAAGTTTTACAGCCGGCGGTGGGTTATTCAGCGATTTCACTTCTACTAATTGTTGTCTATTTATCGACTTCACGGCTAGATACAAAAACAAAACACACCGAGGGTAGGGAGAAAGCAAAACTCAAAATAAAGCAAATCACCTGTCAACTTTTTACTGTTACTTTTTGGAAATAGTTTCAATCTAAAATGTGATAGAGAATCAAAGTCAACATTTCAGGAGTATATTAAAATTCTATTCAGAAAGTAAAACTGAAACTGAAGAGAAAGGTAGAAAGAAACAATATCTTATACTCTTTGAGTTAAAAAAACCAAAAGTATAAATATTAGAACTTCTTTCTTGAGAATAAATTGAAAAGTTTGTTACCAGTATCTACAACCAATGTATTGCCAATATGTTGTTTTCGATTTGCAGTTCAGATTTATAGAACTATTACTTTCAATAATAACATTTTTTTAAAGATCTGAATCATATCTTTTTTCATTTATAAAGTTGACAGATCTTTCTATTTACTATACAGGGAAGGTTAAAGTGCAGTTATTCAGGTTGTGTTAAAGACATTGTAAAGAGGTTTTCTAAAAGGGACACTAATTGCAACAATTTGCACCTTTCCAATTTTCTTTCTGACTTCTGGTTCGAACAATCCCACATAAAAATAAGCTAATATTATGATGGTGATGTTACAAAACGCTTAGTTTTAGTTGAATTGTTAGAACCACACATTGAAAATTGGAATGGTGCCAATGGATGCTATCAGTGTCATCAATACACATAGGGTTTAGAAAACCTCTTTAATACAATCCCTTTAGTTAGATTTGAAGCAGTTCTAAGTAAGCTTTTACTTTCATTTGTATCAATAATTCTGTGCTACACATTTAACCAATTTAATAGCTAACAACATATTGTTCATGCAATTACTATCAATGGAATAGCACAGACTTTTCTATTTCATCATTGTCTAAAGATTTTATGTCTTCTGAATTATTTTGGTATTTAATGGAATTCTACTACTTCAATAGAGAAGGGTGTTTGGCGCAAAGCAGACCAGGCTTATTCTTTTCTAAACACCCACTACTATAACTTTTACTCTTGATTTTGTCATACTTTGGACGACATTTTGAGTAAAGGAATTGTCGATGTTTTATGACTGCACTTTAACCATTCAAAATAAAAATCACTATATCAATTATAAAGATATTATAGAATAAAAACTAAATACAATCATATAATATAATATTAAAATAAAATCATAAAACTAATTAAGACAGTATTAAAGTGAAGAGTCCTTAGTTATGTTATTTAGGATATCAATTCTGGAGACTTCCTAATTCCAAACCTGTGTTTTTAAAATTTTTGGTGAAATTTTGTAGCAGGACTCATTGACGAATGAAATGGAAATTATGAGTTTTGCGTCCTACTGTTCTGCACCTAATGGGTTAATAAAGATTGGCAACGCCATGCAGTGTACAATGAAATTTTTATGCCAGGACAGTGGCATTAACCTAATCTTTTTTTTTTAATTTCCAACTGTCAAGGAATCTTTAATGTGCACAGTGTTTAGTAAATGGAGACTGTCAAATGGAATATCTAGATATCTGAATATATCGACAAGGCGATCTTAGTAAAAAATATTATCAATCAGTTTTGAATGACAAACACAGATAATAACATAAGATTTCTAGAATTTTATTGAAGGTGAAAATGTAATCCAAATCTTGATGCCTCTGATAAAGAAGGTATCTAATTCATATAAAAATATTTGAAAACTCTGAATTATTGACCACTATATGATTTCTTCATGCATTGCCAACACCAAAAATTGACTAATAAAATCAAAATTCAAACACAAAAGTATTCATGATATGAGCACAAACTAAAGGCATCAACATCGAAATACAGCCAAAATACATCTAATGTGAAATACAGCCAAAATACATCTAATGTGAAATACAGCCAAAATACATCTAATGTGAAATACAGCCAAAATACATCTAGTGTGAATACAGCTAAAACATCCCAAGAATATGAGAATGAGAAAACAGCCAATGAGAATACAGCCAATGAGAAAACAGCAATGAGAATACAGCCAATGAGAAAACAGCAAATGAGAATACAGCCAATGAGAAAACAGCCAATGAGAAAACAGCCAATGAGAAATCATGACAACAAAAAAGAAGGGTAATGACCATATTTAGGGTATTTGTATCTGTTAATGAGTCGTTTTGAAAAATTTTTGCATCTTTGATTTCTTACAAGTCAGATGTAAAATCTGCATTCAAATTTTCAACGGTAAAAAATCACGGGAGGTAACTAAATCACAATGCTGTTTATGAAAATGTTTGAATGAAAGCGTGAACCATAAAAATGCGCCAACGTGTTTTGAAGCTCTTGTGAAATGAGATTTCGACTTCAAAATGATAGAAAGCACAGGCTAGATGAAGGTATATGATTCTGTTAACTCAATTCTTGCTACCTGTATCACTTTTCAGAAGTTATATTTTTAAGACTTAAATTCCAATTTACTTTTATTTACAACTGTACAAAGGTAAAGGTAGCTAAATGAATTCTATAAGCTTTAGACAACCATATCCTTATGACATAATATGCTGAAACATTCTGGATGTTTTCAAAGACAATGGGAATCATCAACTAAGCCTTTGCAGACAATTGGTAACATTTATTTTCAGACAAACCTTATCTTAAAAGAGTCATCATGGAAATTCCAGATGAAAACAGACAATGTAAAAAAATTCCAGATTTTCAAAACCCAGACAATTCTAGAAAAACACATGAAGAATAAAAATCCTACCGTTCTGTGCCTCTATAACAGCTGGTTCTACCTTCGATAAATCTTCTGTTACGCTGACCTTTTTCTCACTAATGACTTTAGTTTGTTCAATCAGAGCTTGTTGAATTTCCTGCGATGTTACTTTCTTCTTCTCAGCTTCTTGCTGATCTTTGACCTACAATACAACACAAAATAAAATATCTCATATACACGTATTCCTATGCCCATCTTAAATTATAGACTATTACAATACATAAAATTTTTGTTTTGTTTTCATTAGTATTGTTCTCATTTCACTATCTCGCATTGGTAATGGTTATCGTACTTAACACTCTTTGATTGGTTGAAAAATGAAATCAGAGGAACAGAACTGTGGAAGAAAACTTGTTAGATTACAACTGAGAAAAAATATTTTAAAAAACAAAAAAATTTTCTAATCAAATTTCAATTAGGTGTCCTATGCCACGATTAAACCTTGGAATACTTCGTCAGTTGACATATTTAAATTGTCACCATCCTAGAGGATGTAATGGGTTAAGGTAATAAATAAGGAAAGTGATCAACGAACCATCTGCTGGAGTTTCTGATTGGCTGCGTTGTTTTTCTGTTCTAATTCCAGACGTTTAACAGACAATGATTTCTGTAATTCTTCCACTTGGTCCACGGTTTCTCGTATTTTCTGTAGACCAATGTTTAGATGTAGCTGTTGTTCTTCTAAATCTGATCTCTTCTCATTATACAGCTTGGCCTGTAAATATAGGAGGTTTATTAGAAATATGGTTGCTGATATATTATATGTACAGCAGATATTCATACGTTAAGTGTGTTTCAGATATCAATCAGAAGAAAACCTCGGCCTTTGTTCTGATTACAACTCTTAATTAAATCATTAGGTAAGCTTGACTTGTAATATATTTATTTTGGATTTGTTAGAAATATGATATTTTTCATCTTCATTTCTGTAAGTTACTCTGATGAACCAGAATGGAGTTTTACATCTACTTTACCTTAACTAATCATGCTAATGAAAATGAAGATCTGCGATGCCATGCAGTTTGCAAAGAGAGAAATTTACTCCTTTATTTTAGATTTCCATCTGCCAAGAGAACTTTATCTAACAAAACCTGAAGTTTGATTTGTTGTCTCCTCTGAACAAATTATTTCTGGTATTTGGAATCTTTTTCAATGCTTTCAACAAATAAGAAAAGAACTTACAAAATGGTTGATGAAGTCGAGATAATGTCTGGGAGTGATGGCCATGACACGTCCACCACGACGACTGACTCTAGAATTAGCTTGATGTAATGATTGATGAACAAACACGTAGGCATTGACCACAGCTTCACGATGTCCTGGGGGGGTTACTAAGTCTTCAAACGCCTTTGGGAAATCTGGTGGGGGAACATACTGAAAACAAAGCAAAAGTTAATTATACAAAGAGTTCAGAAACCATGAAGAAGAATTTCAGTGTAATAAGTAAGAACAAATGTGTTATTATATCCTTTATGAAGACACTTTCAAACATAATTTAACCTAAATCGTATGACAATTCCAGATAGCATATTGGTGCAGTTGACATGTTTTCATCTGAAATCTAAAACAAAGTATCAAAATAGGCCTGAAATAACTAGCATGCAGATAACACCACCATTAGAGAATACTACAAATGTATGGAGCCCCTTAGGTGCAATTTTCCGTACTTTTATAAAATATTTTATTTTAACGAAGTAGTTATTTTGCTATTACGAAATAATAAATTTGTTTAAACGAAATAACATCATATACTTCGATTTTCTATTTCATTTTAACAAAATGATTTTCTATTTCATGTTAACGAAATAATTATTTCGTTTAATTGAATAACTTATTTCGTTGAACCAAATTAATCATTTTGTAATAATATTCCTTAAAACGAATTATTTTATAAAAGTATGGAAAATTGCGCCTTAGGGGCTCCGTACAAATGCGACAGATCCTGGCTTTATTTTGTGGTCTCTGTCACTCCATGACCTTTTCATACTCCAAATATAGGAGGGTATATTTCATTCACGAGTTCAATATTTCACATGTAAACTTTTTTTTTATGGGATTTTTTTTATAAATGGGAGCTAGACCGTAGGACTTTTCCAAGAATGGCGCTCCAGTTATTGACTCCATGAATTTTAGTAAGAAATGGGGGGCAGTATGATCTATAACCAGGGTAATTTATAAGCTATAGCCATTCACTGAAACACTGCACCTTAAAACAGGTCATGCAATTGTAAAAAGCTTAATGAACTTTTAGCATAAAATGATAATGCATTTAGGGTCAACAATATAATATAGGGTCAACAATATAATATAGAGTCTTACGTCCTACACTGCTCATGGTGGAACTAAGCAAAATGCGATGCCATGCAGTGTACAAGGAGGGCAACATTGGACTTCTTTAATCCAACTATTAAAAGTTAATTTTGAAACAGTTGAGTACGAATAAAATAAAATAATTTGACATAAAATGAATGAAATTTAACACTTTATATTTCACCTGGTGTTCATCCTGATTTTGTAAGAAAACAAAAAATGGAAAATAAATTTGTAAAAAAATACAATATTTCATATTTCTGAATTTTCAATAAATGTATGTGATAAACTATGTGGAATCTCTGAAAGATGCTGCTAAGACAATCCAGTGATTTTAGAAGTCTGAGCATGCCAAGTTTGAAGCATCAATGAATTTACATCTCCACACAACCTGAAATTTTACTTTTGTAAATTATCACAAACTGAATTGGATATCACAATATTAAGCATTAATATATCAAGATATGGGTTTATATCTTTTTAATCTCAAAATTTAGATTTTGAAAAATACATTAAATATCTCTTAAAAAAAAACACCCAAGTCTTGAATTTCATGAAAAAAACATCTGTTTCAAATGTTAAATTACTTGTTAAAAATGTGTAAATGATCATATCTGGACAAAAATTTGACACTATATCATGATAACTACCACATATCAGGATATTGTGATATTTCGGTATTTTTTAATCAGGTGATATTATTAACAATATAAATATAATAGTATTTATCATGCAGTGTTATTAATTGATTTAGCAAGACAAAGGAATTTTTCAATCATGTCATGTGGAATAAATTAAAATCTGAAGTAAAGATTGAACGTCTTGAATTCTAAAATTCTAAAGAAATGGAAAACAAAGGCTATACTTACATTGCCTTTCTCCAGATCAACTTTATTGGTGAATTCTTTACCAACTTGAAACAGAGCACCATTAGACCAATCTCCAAACCAGTTCAATACACATCTAATAAATATAACACAAACTTCATCACACACTTATAAAATAACTTGGACAGTATTATTTTGAAAACAGGAATCAACTTCATAAGAAATTAATACAAATAAAATGATTTTATTGGTTGAAAAGGCTAAATCTTACATCAATTTGTAGTATCCATGATCAAAAATATTTCTACAAATCTTAGTTCAATTCCAAGATAGGCCTATACAAGAGCTATAGCCCTCGACAAACATAACGGCTTATTGTTAACAGACTTTCTGTCTAGAGCTCTGATTGGCTATATTCACTAGCATACAATCCAATCAAAATGCTGCATTTACAAACTGTCGTGAAACAAGAAAGATGGTTATTGCAGTCAAGGTATATTTCTCTAATTATAGTAAGATGAGACTAAATAACTAACCTGTTGAAGAGAGCAGGGGATGTTGAAGCTCTATCTTTTAAACCTTCTGATGAGGGATTCATGGTGAACACTACATGAAGATTTCGCATTACCTAGATATATAAAATAAATATCTGTACAAGCAAGACAATTCTGTTAATCAAAATCTGGTCTAAAGAATGGTCAAATCCTGAGTAAAAGTAGTAGATTCTTTCAAAGAGAAGTACTATCAGGTGTTTCGAAAAGAGTAAACATGGTCTGCTTCATGCTCGACACCCACCACTATCATATAGGTCATTAACATGAGATACAACACTTATTATTCTATATATGTCTTTTCTATATAAGACAGAGTCTTCTTCTTTCTATCTGTCTACTGCAGGAATTAGACTGTGCCCTGTTTGAAGACTATTAGCGATAGGCTTAGATAAAAAATTTCCTGTTTTCGAGACTAAGATATGATTGGTCGAACAAATGGCGAACCTGTCCCTGTTAACATTAATATACATAGATAAACCAAAGCTTACTTGTTGAGTGAACCATTTGTACAATTCTTCACTAGAATCTAACATTAAACCTTCACGTTGTGCCCCTTCTTTACACTGTGTCATCAGGGTAGAGTACTCATCTCCTTCAAACAGACCTGGTACCTCACCATTAGCTAGCAGGGTGTTCATTCTCTCCAGGAAACCAGAGTCCAATACATTAGATTCATCCAAAATAAAACAGATCTTTTCTCCCTACAATATAAATTATCTTTTTTACCAGTTGATTGGTGAATATTTACCAGCAATATCTGACAAGACCTCTTAAGATTTATTACCTTTTTGCTACTAATGCCTGATTATAAGTCCAAATATTCTATTATCATTGGGTTGTTTGTCAAAATGAGCTAGTTCTCAAGGACTCTTGCAATTACATCCACGAACAAGTCCAATTTTATCATTCATATATCATAACACAAAACATTTTTATAATATTTTTCTATACCAAAAATTACAGTCACAATTCCAATTCATTTTAGATAATGTTTTTGAGAAGTTTGTTAAACATCTCAGGTCTTCAAAAGTTCGGATATAAAGCTCTAGAAATAGTATTTCCGCCAATGAAGTTAATTCTAAAATAAATGACCTACCTTACAACCTGATCTTCGTAAAACAGTTCGTAAATCTTCATCAAATTCTAAATCTGTATATTTATTGTGTACTTTAACTTGGAACACTGATAGTCCATTCATCCAGGCCACAAATCGTGACAGAGTTGTCTTTCCTGCTCCACTCACACCAATCAATAGCAGATGACCTTGGGGTTGACGGAAAATTCGATCAATTCTTAAAACGTGATCCAATACTTCATCAAATAGTACGAGAGGTACATCCAACTCTTCTTCATAGAAAACCTGAAATAGTGAAATAAAAACATGGTCAATAAATTTTAGAGCATATAACCACTAAGATATCAATAACTATGTTGACTGTAATACCAAATTGACACACCATAGTCTGTAACATCAGATTTTCCAAAATACAATTCATACTCTGCATTGCAAGAAGGACCTACTACAGTGTATTTCAGGGGCTGAAACTGTAGCATAAACATTTCATGATAAAAAAAAAAAAAAGAGTATAATAGTCAAAACATCGTTAACAATATTAGTGTCTATGACCTGATTAAAAAAACAAAAGACTAATTCTGCTGTCCTTGCAAAATTTCTCTCAGTGAACACTGCATAGCCGGTTAATTAGCCGAATCAAGAGCAAATAAGAAGCCATATTTTACCTTGAGTCTAGCTTTAGTATATTCTCTTAAATCCTCTCTATTAACAGGCATATAGTCTTTAGATAACCATTTCGAGAAGAGTACAGGTCTGGCTAGTGCTTCATCTCGATTTATGTTGGGGAAATGTTGAGTTGCCACCTGATCTATATTCTTGTCTGTCCAAAATCTCTCTTCATCTTCTATCAATCTAAAAACAGAAAAAAGTAGAGTAATGAAAATTGCATCAACACAAACAAACATACATATTCCACCCTCAAAATAATGGAGAAAATACATTTGTGCACAACTGTACGATTCAAAACAAAACATATTTGATGGTAAATGTGCATTTAACAGGAAAAATATTGTAAAAGATTGAGGTATTTTGTTTAAGGAGAACCTGGATCCCTCAATGTTGCTTTTTCTTAACAATGCATCTCAAAACCATATCCATCTAGCAAAAGAGTATCTGAATGATGATCATCCTGATAAACTATTGACAATCATTCGCTTTTTGATAATTACCATCAATCCTTTTTTAGTATACCTGAACATGCCACTTTGCGGATGCACATTCTTATATTATTATGATATAATGCTTAATATGAGCCTGAATAAATGTGTTAATGATAAGTGTTTTTAGATGAATTTAACACATTTTAAGATTAATTAAGAAAGGGGGGTCCATGTCACTAAACATATAGCTATAATTTTGGAACATTTTTGAAAACCTAGGATCAATGCTTACCTATCTTGGAACAGTCTCAAAGCTTCGTGAGCCCAGATCCTCACCAGACCATCAACAGAAAGATTCTCTAATGGACGTAGGTATTCACAGATACCACGAACCCAGCGTGTCAATTCACGAGGACTGTATACGTAATGAGGCTGCATATCTTGAGTGAATCTTTCCTATAAATATTAAAATTTTTTATGTTTATACATTATCAATGGACCTTATTCAAAACAATTTCTCAAAACCTTGACTTTAAAGGACCATAGACCAGAAGTTTCAATATGTGAAAATTCATGTGACGAAAAAAGAAGAATTTTGTGAAAAAAACATTTTCTGGCAAAAATGTACGATATTTGTTCAGTTCACCAAAAAGTGACAATCTTCTTGTCCATCTATCAATGTTTCATAGAAAAAGGAACTAGAACAGATGAAAGTAACCCAAATTATTATCACGTAAACTTTGAACATACCTGTGAAAGAAGATAGAATTGGACCATGGCATTGGTAAGAGGATCTGCATATGGTTTTAAACTGGGAACCAAACGTAACATAGCTCGATTGAATGTTCCATAAATCTGTTTTAATGATGTTTCACCAGGGTAATCTACATACACTACTGGTACGTGACGTAAAAATCTGTAAAATTCAAACACAGGCATTTAAATACATACACGTGATGTATGTAACATACAAACAACAAAACTGATATACAAAATTTTGAAGCCGTCTGAACCTCCCATTCTGAAGTACCTAATAATTACATAAATACTCTTTCCTTCCAGGAATTTCATGTGGAAATGATCTGATGTCAAATTAAACTTTCCCTAATGTAATTATCTAAGCATTGAAACAACAGAGATTTTGACCTATATAGTAGTGTTGGGTGGTCGAACGAAGCAGATTATGCTTACTCTTTACGAAACACCTGATTGTTCTTCTCTTTTGCAGGTGTCCACTACTATACAACTTTTACTCCTAATTTTTGCCATACTTTGGACTTGATTTTTGATTTACAGAATTATCTTGTTTGTAAAGATTTTAATGAACTTTTTTTTTTTTTATCAAATTCTAATCTTTTAAAAAAAGTAAAAATGTGAGTACCTGTGAGAAAGAGGTTTACGGCCAGGGTCAGTCGGAGGATTACACGCTCCTACAAACTGCATCCTTTCAAACTTAATCCACATCTGATCTGACGGACGATAAAATCCACCATGTTCCATCATCTGACGCAGGAAGGAAATGACTCTCTGGGTTCCTGAAACAAAATTACACAATTTTCTACGGCACTTTTTATATAGGGGCCTTACTCAAAGATAAAATTATAATTCTAAGAAATACAGTATTCTGATTGGCTAAGATTGGCTAAATTAAAAATTGATTATAGTGATTGACCAATCAGGTGACTGGAACACTAAAATCGTCTGACGTTAATTTTCAAAACGCCACCCAAAGACCAGAGTAAAAAAATATCAAAGTGAGCTCTAGTCATAAGTATCAAAATAACACTTTTTTGTATTTTTTCAGCTAATACAGATAATTACGACCCTTCTAAGAATGCATATCACTTGCAAACATTTTGAATATTCAATCAAAAATCAAAAAAAACCTTACCATATTTGTCCATATCAGGAAGATTAATTTCGTCACAGAATAGCACCAACCATTTATTAAGTTGAACAGGGGAGAGAACCATTCCGTTTGGTGTTCGTCGATATTCACAGTAATGGTCAAATGTTTTTAATAAGAGTTCAGGGGTAGTAGCACTGGAGAAATTCAACCCTACCACCTGTAAAATAGTATGGGGAAGAGGATTAGACCATGCTTACTCTTTCCAAAACACCTAATGGTACTTCTTTTTGAAGAGTCAACTACAATACAACTTTTACTCCAAGTATTTGATTGACAGAATTGTCTTGCTTGTACAGATTTTTTTTATGTAATATTTTGTTATTTCCATGAAGACAAATTTTGTTGATTTTTCCTTTCTTGTTTCATCCTTTCTTGTTAATTCAACGGAAAATATTTTGTGGAAGATTGCTTATTTTGTAAAACATTCTCTGAATCGTAATAACTCCTGTTATCCAAGTGTTGAAAGGCATGTCTCTTAATACGTCCTCAGGCATTTCCATAAAATTTAACTGAGATACTCTCAATATTATTAAGCAGCAATTTGATTGGTTAGTTAACAAGGCAGAGCTCAACTTACCTCCATATCAGGAAGAGCTCTCAGTGCCGAGAACAAGGTCATAGTTTTACCGGAGCCAGGGGGTCCACACAGTAGTAATGGTTTATGTTCTGCTAGCCAGGTATACAATAAACTCTCATGACGTACTGTATCTATAGTGGGGATAACTACATCAGGGGAGGCAACTTTGTGAGTTTCCACTTCAACTTGTGGTACTTTAGACTGCCAGGTTACCCATTCTCCTGTCATTGCCACCTGAAATACATTTCATTTTTAAAATTCTGCATAAAATTCATCAATTGGCATTTTTTACTATGTTATCTTCATAAAGTTATTACAAACTTTGTAATGGTACTTTGATATAAGGTGCAAAAGTCACCTCTCGTGCACCATGGAAGTTCATATATGGAGCGTTTTGAGTGGATTTTATGCTAGAGAATACAGCCTGTCAGACCTCACAGAAAGTCTGAAAACAAAGCCATAATGTTTACAGAATTTCTGTCGAGGGCTCTGTGTGGCTGTATTTGAAGCGTATTTCAAACCGCAGCAATCTGTGATACTCAGGAAATTAGTAACAAAAGGATGAACGACAGACACAAGTCACAAACCTCGAAGTCGATGACGGAAGCATTGGTAGTGGGTGGTAATGGTACAGTGGTAATACCACGGATAAAATCTCCCATGTCTTGTCGAACTTTAATTTTTCCGTCCCCAGACATCGACCATACTAAACTATAGATTAGATATTTCGATAAATATTGCTCCATTTGTTCTTGCTGAAATATAACAAATATTTGTCCATGTTGGGTTGTCTTTAATGAAATATCAACAAATATTTGGCAAGGATTTTTGCTACAAAATTTCTTCAGCAGTGTCATTTATAGACATACAAAGACTAGAAAACCTTGATTCAATTAGTTAACTAATAAAAACAATGGAAAAAGCTGCTTAGAATTCTATAAACACAGATTGAGATATCTTTATCACAAAAACAGTCTGGAAAGATTTCCTCAACACATACAAAGGTTAGAAAGGCTATTTGGAATCTCTCTTCTTTCGAAAAGGCTTCCTGTGATTCAATAAACTTTAAATCAGATTAAGATCTCACTATTTAAATACAGTTAGGGCTCACGATTGCCCGATGCACACTAGAAAAACCTGTTATAAATATCTTTTCTTACCAACAAACAAACAATAAAGAAAGACTATACTAACCGGTACAGGGAAATCAGCATGGTTGTGGTTATAGTTTAAAATATTACGAACTCCCTGGTTTAACATAGAGAAGAAGGAATTCAAGGCTCGGAGACGTGTAAAATCCATGACGTGTTCCAAGTCGACAGCATGTTCCATACAACGATTCACCAAACCATCCGATGTAAAGAATGGTTGGAATACAGCAGCTGCATCTCTTTGAACCTGAAAAATATTTCATACTTTCATTTATCTCTAAATTTACAATTTTAGCAAAATAGGCTTGTGTTTGTTGGTTTCTATGTATCCAAAAATATACTGTCTAGTAGTTCGGATGGGACAATAAAATGAGGCCCCGTGTGCTGCAGGCTGTACACGTTAAAGATCCCTCGACGGTTGGAAATCCAAAAAGAGCAGGCTAATGCCCCTGTCCTGGCAAAATTTCCCTCATTGCAACCTGCATGGCGTTGCCCGTCTTCATTAGCCCACATGATGCAGAAAAGTAGGACGTAAAACTCCATTCATTGCATTTCATTTTCCAATAATATACTGCCATCAGCTTTTGGTAAAGTAAAACTAAGTCTCATTACATTTTGTTCTCATGCCAACCTGTGTATTATTCGGTACTAAAAAAAGTTACTAGGTAAGTAAATTTGCATTCCAGATATTGTATACAGATAACTTCCTACAGATATCATGGAGTTCATTTCAGCACTGAGACATTAATTCTTAACCTGAGACGTTAATCTCGAAAACTCAGATGATGTTAGTTATCCAGTCATTTCATTGGTCAAACACTAAAATAGTTTTTAAATGAAATTTATATTATCCAATCAGATTACTGTATTTTTATCTTAGTTCAGTGTAGGAGAATAAGCCACCAGGTGAAATACGGAAACGGAAAGAAGAAGCAAAAGAACAATTTGTATTTTCTATCAAATTGAAAATCAAAAGAACTGGAAGGTTATTAACAAAGAAAGAAACTTACAATGAGTGAGGGAGATTCTTGATCATCTTTACCACTAAAATCATCATCCATTTCCTCTACAGGTACACTACGAAGTTGTTCTAGGAAGTTTTCATAGATCATATCAGTTGATAGGACGTCCTCACTGAACCAAACCATACCACAACGTGTAACGGTAGCTAGAGTGGCATAGCGTAGATCTTGTACTTCAAACATTATTCTCACCTATAAATATTTAATGGACATTTTACTGCAGTGTGCAATGAGGGAAATTTCAGAAAACAATGGCAGAGTTAACCTTTTCCGAAACGATTTGTATACAAGCCTCTATGACTTTAAATTGAGAAAATCAAATTTAATCATCAGAATATCACCGCTGAGGGTATTTTAACCCCTGATTCCCAAATACCACTTAGAGATACCAGCAATCCACCAGGGGGGTGCCAGAGAGGCCTCAATGGAATACAGATTTAAAACATCAGAAGTGGATTCAATGGGATCTGAAGAGATTTTTGAAAAACATGCCTTCAGGGCTGCAAGTGACCTACCACTAAAGGTGGGAGGTGAAGGATTATGACTGATAACATTACTTACATTAGGTGGTATAGCCAATCTTTCACCATTAGGCAAAGTCAATAATTTATTTTCATCCAAGACAGAATTTAAATTTTCAACCCATTCAGGATCTACATCACCATCAAATATAATCCACTGTCTTTTGCTCAATTCACCTCGTACATTGTCAGTAATCCTAGAAAATAGATAAATCACGTCAACCATTTTTTACCTGAACTCTTGTCAAAAAGTTTCTATTGGAATTCATGTCAGGTAACCAAAATAATGTCAAATCCTTTGTAAACTTATTTGCAATTCCTGTATTGCAATAAGAATTTGTCATAAGTGTGGAATCTAACATTGAAAAAATACCACAGCTATGACAAAACTGATCGTAAGAATATTTGTCTAACGGGGGACCAGGTTTCTACCCAACTTCAAGTTATCAGGTTTCTAATTGCAATTAATTTTTCCCACTATCATTCAAGATTTTATCATTACATCAGTTCATGTAAACAAAATTGTTACTTACTTTCTGAGTACATGTGTAAACAAACCATCTGTCCATTCTCTTGTATTAGGGTCCAAATTTCCATACAGTACCTCTTTAGATATAGACTGGAATAAAGAATTTACATATTTATTACACCACTGTAGCCCTTTTCAGAAAGCGGCTTGACATTTCTTGCATTTCCAAACTAGTCTCGAAATGTAGAAATGAGAATAAGTTCTACTTGTCCAACTTCTGTAGGGACACAGGCTAAAATAGGTTAGTTGTTTGAAGATCACATAGTGTTAAACTCTGAGTAACCGCGTGATTCAAGTTCTGTTTTAATATTTCTAATATACAATATTAAGTATGTATTTTTTTACCTTGGGGTCTATAACATGGGCGACGCCTTCCACACCTTCAATTCTTTCTAGAGCTTTCAGTAACACCTTCCAGGCCATGGACTTACCACTTCCACTAGGTCCCACCATCATTAAACCATGATGTAGGTTGGTGATTTGATACAACTGTAGAACCTGAATAATAAACATAAAGTACATTGATAGGATCTCAGCTTTTGAATTGATTGCAGTTTTATTCGACCTCCATCACAACAGTTTGTGTGTGCCTGTGTATTACTAACATTAGATCCAAAATGGCTGCCAAAAACCAAAACAAATCTTTACCTTTTCTACCCATTGTGTTCCGATTTCATCTCCTTCTCCATAACATAGGTACATTTCTTTACAGACCTTACGTAGTTCTTTACGTAATACCAACATCTCATTGGCTGTGTATTTCACCCCTGGGAACACGTCTGTCAGCAGACTGTGGAGTAATGGAATATCTTCTGCTACTAATTTCGGAACCATTGTCTCCATTACTGATTGGATCAAAATCTACAATAAAAAAAAAGAAATTTTAAATATTCAACGAAGAATAGAATAGAAAGGTTGTCAGATTTTGTTTTTAATAATATATCATGAATGTAGGATTGAAACGGTGTTTTCTGTTGATTGCATCAGTCTATTCAGGGTGGTGAACAAATTGAAATTGATTAAAATATGTCCATTGAATCATTTACATGCCAGGTTTGAACTCTGGACTTTCAGGTTAGCAAGTAAGCATATAACTCAGTGAGCCACAGCGGCACCAAAAAACATGGAGTAAAATCGAATTTGGCATCATTCAATACTATGAACACTTGCATATTTTCAAGCAAAGGACACTATTGTGTATAAAGGTTTTTCACTGCAAGTTGAACTATATCCAATGTTCTCTACTAACCTCTTGTTCTGGTAGATTCTCAGCGATGGCACTTTCATCCAGAGCTTCTCCTCGTTCTTCAAAGCCCTCTTTAACTTGTCGTAATTTATCTCGTTTCACGTTACCAGCACTGACTAATACACTCTTCAACGCTCGTAAACCAAAATCATAGTGAGACTGTGGTGAGAGTTGTTCATCACATAATCTACAGATCAAAACAAAGTTTGTCATTCGGTCATATTTTATATTTTGTCTATTTGGAATTCAGATTTTGTATCAAAGATTGGAGTTTTATGTCCTACTTTTCTGAACCATTCGGGCGAATGAAAAGGCTCAAAAAAAAAGATGTTAACCCAGTGGTTTGACCACAGACTTAGCTTACATCTAATTCAAAACGCATTATTTAACGTCCAAGTATTTTGATAACCATTTGCGACTTTTTATATTAATATCAATGGTTTTAAACATAACTTGACCCTGTGCCAGTGCCTTTTGCTGTATAGTAACTTCTAGCTTTTTAACACCCTAATCTCTTTAAAAAGTGATCATGTGTAGATCAAAAAATAGACACTACAGAGAATGTTTGAGGACCAATTCGTAAATGAGAATTGATAAATTGGTGAAAGATGCTTGTACTTTTGGACTGTCATTTCTTGTTAATCACATCAATTTCTGAGGATTCATAAAACAAACCTTGATTTAATTCAATTTGTCCACTGTTTAAGTGACAATGATCATTGTGAAGGCGCTTTATGAAATACCATGTATGTGACCAACTGAAGAAAGATCTACATAGAGAAGTGTGACAAAGGACTCAGTTTGGTCTGAAACACTTACTTGAAGAATGGTACGATTTTACTGGCCAGTTTTTCAGCTTGACGGAAACCTTGTGAATATAACATAACTTGTGAAATTAGTTGACGATTTGGTTTCGTCATAGCCAGGTTACGGAACAGTTGTTTCAGATTGTCGGGTAGATTAGATCGTCCAGCGTAACCAGGATTCATTGTAATAAATATAGCCATATCTGCGTTGACTTTGACTTGTTTACCAATCAATTCAGCCATTACATATTGTCCTGGAATAAAACAAAAGTCAAATGTAAAAGAGTTACAATGTAGAATATAAGGGCTCATGTACCATAAACATTTTCCAAAATGGTTGAGAAGGCTAAGTAAACTTTGATTATTAACAATTGAAACTCAATACTTCAAGACTTGAAAATGGAAAATGATTCTCTTTGTTCAGTATGAAAGTGTTTTTGGTCTGTTTTTGTTTAATCCACCAAGACTGAATAATGACTAAATTATTAAAAATTACCTTTTTTGTCCTGTCCAGCGAGTTCTTTCAAAGATTCCTGAATAATTTGAATCTGTTGAGAGACAGCTGATAACATTCTTTCTTCCAGTCGGTTAAATTCATCAAAACATCCCCAGGCTCCGACTTGACACAGACCAACAAAAATACGACCCATAGCCTGAAATTGATAGAAATGAAATGACATCACTGACAGGGGGAAACCGGGTTGAAAAATCCGAAGGTATTATCTCGACCTATGCCGGGATTGAACCCTGGACCTTCAGGTTAGCGAGCAAGCCTCTAACTCACTGAGCCACCGCGGCTCCTGAAATTGATAGAGGGGAAAATATTTAAAGGAATTGAAAATAGGTTTCTATAATTTTAGCAATCTGAAATGATGTAAAACATATATTTTTTGAAGCAAGGACACTCTAAGCCAAATTTTTACATACCGATCATTTGTTTCAACAATTTGAAAGTGAGACACTTAAGGATTGTTACCAAGTCTTAATTTTTTATGTGTATCAAAAATTTGTGTCCTGCATTTTGAAAATACAATCTGAAATCAGTAGTAAAATGAGTTTTGTGACATCAGCAATGCTTTTGATAGGATTAGGAAATCTCATTTGTGTTGTTTTATATCTTGTCCAGTAAGTTTATATTCCACACTGATATCACCAAGGTTCAATACCAATTGTCCTAATAATGTATTTAAAATCCCGTCTTTATAGTGAAAGATGATATACACATTAATAGCAACTAAAATAATCTAACCTGGAAATCAAAAGCTTCATCACAATTAAATACCAGTACAAATCTTCCCAATTGGTTGCCCAGAGCTTTTACTGATTCTGTTTTACCAGTACCAGCAGGTCCTGTAATGTACAAATGAAATGGAATTTTACAACATTTTCTGTGTCTTATATGACTAATAGAATTAAATAGAGTTTTATATCCCACTAATCTGTATCTTATTAGGCTAATGAAATCTAATGGAAATTGAAGTCCTTCTTTTCTATTTCACTTTGGGCAAAAGAAAATTTCCTTTTAAAGTGATTTTGAAACATCCAAAATAGGTAAGTTTACCAAAGGATTATTACTTAGCAATAAAAGAGCAATTATGAACAATCTGAACTGCAAAACAAAACCAGAAATCCAAAATAAAATTCAGCAGTCAGCTAATTAACTCTCAATATGACGAAGTATATCGATCATATATCAGCATTAACCACCTAAACCAGGGAGAAAAACTTACCGAAGGGGGAGCCACCAAGACGAGCCTCCAGAGCTTGAGTCATAGTCAGATAACAACGATCAGTTAGTGGTGTTTGGACCAGTTTATCTTGAACACCCAAATATTCAAAACCATAATTAAACTTAGCATTGGCCATTTGAATGGATAGTTGTTGAAGAACGTCGTGATTTTTTGGGTCGAAGTAGAATCTCATTTGTGACAACCAATCAAAAGATTTCTGACTGTCGACTTTGTTTTTAATCAATGTTCGTGTTACGTCACGTTGGTGAACCAATTCTGTGATCTGAAAAAGGAAAAAAATATCAATTGAAATATATCATAAATAAAGCCTTGAATCAGTAATTTTGATTCAATATTTCAACACTTTCCCCTTTCATTTTCTATAAGCTGAACTGCACAGATGAATTTTTTTTTAGATATTTACTAGAAGCATTTAGTTAATTATTAATACATCAATTAAACAGTGTTTTAAATTCTTTTCTGAACTTTAGTGTATGAAAACAAGGCAACACCAAGCAGACTTCATCTGAAGTTAAGAATGAACAAGTGCATCATATTAATATCACATATATTTACTTTGTTCTATTTTGAATTTTAAACAATTCAAATACAAAATCAAACTTACCAAACTTTCTAATTTCTTTCGTCTGACAGCAGGTTGTTCTAGGAGAACAGAGTCAGCTAGAATATTAAGGGTAGATTCCACGCTAGCTAACACACCATCCATTGGTGTCAGGTCTTTCTGTCCGGTCTGAGCGCCGATAGTTGAGAGGGCTGCATCACAACTTTCAGACCACAAGATCTGAGCTGCTAGTACTATTAGTTGGGACTGAAAATACATAGTATAATTCATTAGTCTAAATCATCAAGAGTGCTTAAAGATATAAATTTGATTTAAAGTCAGCTGGTTTGGAAATGGGGCTTCACATTCACAAGTTTAGAAGTTTAAAAGCACAGACATTATTACTAGGAAAACATGTCCTGGCCCCGTATTCTCAAAACGATCTTAGAGCTAGGATGTCCTAGGTTCTTATCTTCTAACATTGATTCTAGGACATCCTAGCGCTAAGATCGTTTCGAGAATACGGTGCCTGTTCTTTGCTAAAAACTTTGCTTTAGATTATTGAAAGTTAGAAACTTGCTAGATAACCCTGAAATTTATGTTTGTTCAGAAGCAATGCAATTTAAGCTGAAATGAAATTCACAAAATATTTTTTTACATCTGTTTGGGTTAATGTGGATGGAAAAGCGTACGGTGGGAAAATTTTACCAGGAAAAACTTAAATAGATCCCACCTGATATTTATCAATCCAATCTAGATATAGACTAGGGTCTATTTTACCAGTTTTAAAATTAGCCATGTCAGCCACGGAAGAGGCCAGGAGTTTTGCCAGAGTGACCCTCATTTCTTTCTCTACCAGTGTCAACCATTCGTTAATCTTAGGATGGGCTGCGATAGATACAGGCGTGGCAAAATCAACCTGAAAGTAAATGGAGACTTGGATAAAATATAAGACAATTCTCTGTCCTGGTTTGGTTCATAAATACAAAGAGATGCATTGTAGAAGGAGGTAAAGATGGCTAAGACAGTAAAATAAGATTACTTGTAGTGGTGAAGAACCCTTTTGCAATTTCTACAAGGATGAAATATTCTGGATTGATGTTTGGTGTTTAACAAATGTTATTGAGAAGAGAAAGATATCTGAAGCCTAATTATCATCTAATAACTTCATGGTCTTAGGACTAAGTTCAATGTTACAAATGTGCAACTCGACGAGAAAATTTCTAATGAAAAATCCCTGTCATATACTGTATGTACACAGCCTAAATTTATTGTCTCATCTCATCTCCAAAACTTTACTTAATTTAAAATCTAGATTTTAAGAAATACAGTAATCTGATTGGTCTAAAATTTTGAAATCTATTTGAGTGATTGACCAATCAAATGTCTGGAACACTGAAATCATCTTAAGTTTTCAAGAATAAGTCCCCGAAATGACAAGAGATCTTTTCCATGTCAGGCCATCCATTCTGTATCAGTGAAAAGGAGAAAGTGGGTTGAAAATTTTAAAATAATAGTTTTAAAATACTTACTGATTCACCTTCCTTTGACATCAATCCAGTGACATGTGAGTCATCTTCATTTAAAACAATAGATGCAACACCAGCAAACATCTTTTTAAAATGTTTCTGTAATCTCGGGATATTTTTACTGTTTCCAATAATTTCTAATAAATCTTCATCTCCAACAAAATAAAATCTGGAATGAAGAAAAAGATTATTGTTATTAATTAAAATTCATTAAAATAATATCAACAGATTGTAGTGAGGGTAAATTTTTCTTAGACAGAGGCATTACCATGTGTCTTTTGTTCAATTTCAAATTATCAAATGTTCTTTCCTCCAAATTGAGCAAATGATAAAAGGCACCACTTCACAGCAATTTTGTCAAAATGTTTAACTGTTGACATCAGACATCTGTTTATTGTCCCATAAAACTACAACTTGCTTTTTCTCAAGTCAAACCACATTAACAAAATAAAGAGCTGGCCATTCAAAAATTACTTGCCTTGGGAAAGAAGATCTTTCTCTCTCCAGATATTCACCAAGAGCTTTCTGTATTTTACCGAGTAGATCAGCAAGACGTTCTAGTTGACGTTGACTGTTTGGTATATTTAATACATCTATTACTAGAGGAGATTTGGCTACACGTTTCATTAGTCCTAGGAATTCTGTACTAACTCTATAATATAAATAACAACTTTAATAAATTACAAGAAAGGATAAATGAGATAAACAGAAATTCAAAAAACGTTACCAAAACATCGTGAAATTTGACATTGTTTGATCAAATTTTCAAAACAATAATAATCAACATCCAAACATCAACTTCGGAAATCTTATCATTTATATTTTTTTAGCAGCCATTTCCTATCATAATTTTGATAGCTTTACACCAGCAGTAGTATAGCTCTGTTTGATTGCTCGATTGCTAAGCATTCAGCTCTCATAAGTTTCAATCTTCCTCAATTCTTATGCCATGGCCAGTTCAATCCACCTCCAGTTTTCAATAGTCATCCGAGTGTCAGTCTATTTTCATCAATGACATATAAAGCTAAAGAGAAATATGCTAAGTGATACGTACCCCTGGAATCGGGAGGTCTCGATAGGTAATAAATGTTTAATATCAGCACTGCCAGTAAATATACCCTCCAGATAAACCCATCGTCTCTGAACATCAATCCACACATCAAATAAAGCATTGATTCGATTTAACTTATCTTCCCACGCTAACGCATCTTCTTCAAATTGCTGCAACAATCAAAGATCATTTTCGTATAAAAATAGAATATTTTTTAAAAATTTGGAAACGGAGAGAAGGCCTCAATTTTAAGACAAATCAGATGCCAATTCTAAATATGAATTGAACATTTCAATATTCTCTTGACTTTCCATGAATTGAAGTAATTTCTACTCAATCTACAGCAGATTGGAGTAATGAAATTCAAAATTTTTTCCATCTAGTTCCTTTTCTGCCATTTGAAGTCTCTCACCTATTATAATTTTAGCACACGTCGAAAGCGCTCTGAACTCTATTCCAATTGGTTTTAATGAATGTTCTGCTGATTCCATAAGTGCAGAACTCACTAATCGAAGCGGCCCCATATTATTTTTCTTTTCAAATTATTGTAATACAATAAAAATATAACATACCTTATAATAAGGAGATAATTTCATAGCCATGACACTGTTAAGATGTTCTTTAACCTTGGTAAATAAATCATCCCAACCTCGTATCAGACGACATTTATTCTGGTAGTTAATTAACTCTAGTTCATAACTTCTCCATACTTCACTCACCTACACATAAATTATTTACATATTAATATATTGATATACACTATGATTTTAATTGAAAGAAGCTGTATCTAAGAGGGGGTCAATATATTTTAAGAAATACTGTAATCCGATTGAATAACAAAATAAAATTCAAAATCAATTTTACTGATTGACCAATCGGATGACTGGGACACTAAAATTTAAATTTAAATTAGGTTTTCAAGGATAAGACCCCAGATCTACGTCAAGATTGACCTGAAACTGAAGGGCAACACCAGGTACTGAGCAATTAAATTTTCCAGGACAGATGAAAACTGTTAAAGAAATATATAGATGAAATGAATGGAGATTTATGTCTACTTTTCTGCACCAAAAGGTTAGTGGAGACGACAGGTAGTGTGCAATGAGGGAAATTGCTGCATTAGCCTACTCTTTTTCGATTTTCAACTTCAAGAAATATAGAGAAATACAATACAACATCCCACATACTTGTTTCAAGAATTCTTCCAGAGCCATTTCTCCCTGAGCGACACTGATAACATCACGGACGACAGGTTCATGTTTCTGTAAGTCGATATCCCACACGTGTCCAAGAGTCAACTCTGATAACACCCAGTTTACATTCAGACGTTTCATTAACTGTTTCCAATGGCGTTCTTTTAAAGCTTCTGATTTTAATTCAACAATCAATACATTCACCTGAAAATAGAAGTTGATTATTCTTTAGATTTTAGGAAAGCAACATCATTTTTTTATAAACATAACCATACTGCACATAACAGATGTATGACAGCTCATCTCTGCTACTGACACATGTTTTGGAAACATGATTCTCATCTTTTAATTTTGGGAACGTTTTTCATAAAAAGAGGCATATGGTGAAGATGCCAATTTTGCAGTGTTAATATTCAATTATTGTGGCTTAATTGGATTAGAAAAATGAGAATAGGTATATGGTGAGGACAAGTAACAAGCTAGGAGGGTATTCTAACTATAAGTTTCGCATCAGTTGGGTGGGGGCCCATCTAAATTCTGAAATAAGTGAAAATCTGAGCAATTGTAAAAAATAATCTGGCTTACCTTGGCATAGCTCTGAAGACATCGTTTAACATGTTCATAAGAAGCATAACTTCTTAACCTAGCTGGTAATTCTTTTAGTTGAGATAACAAGGCATCTAGAGATTGTCTCAACTGAAAATAAAATACACAATAAAAATGTCTTGATCAGTGATTATACTAGGACTTTTTGTCTTAAACATTGTTGTCTTTTATACATCTAACTTTCTACTTCTTGCTCCTGACCGAGAGCAATGCCATGCAGTGTACATAAGGGGAAATTCTGACGGGACAGCAGCCTACTCTTTTTACTACTTCCAATTATCAAGGGATCTTCAATACACACTCAATCTGCATTACACAGGGTCCTAGTTTCTTGTTTTAACCATATGAATGGATGCCATTTGTATTAGCCTTCCACTCTCACTTACAAGTAAAATAAAAACCATATGAATTTATTGCCTGGATGATATGATCTACATTATTAATATCTCCTACCCACCTTTCTAGGGGCTACAGACAACCATGGTTTCTCTTTCAGCTCATCAATCTGTTCCCACACCTTACACAGTTCATTCCAAACACCCTTGAGATCTTGTAGTTCTTCTAGAGCTACTCCCATTCTCTCCTGACTGGGGCTCACATGTCCTAGACAAAACACATAGATTTAAAATATACATGTATAGGGCAACATATGGAAGGATTCAGTATCAGGGGGAGGAAGATGACAATGGGCAAACTCTAGGAAGTACTGGCACAGGCTGCAAATCCAAATTAATATGGGAAATCAAAATGTGAAATAACTGAAGGTTGTTGAAAATGACAATAATCTGAAACATACCTGGTTCTGCTAGTTCTAAAGCTTCTTTAGCCTTGGCTATGTTATCTCTTTCTTCCTTCAGACGTCCAAATTTACCTTCAAATATCGTCAAGGCTTTTAGGGCTGCGTCTGGTCTCATTTCTCCCTGAAAATTTGACAAAGATATATAAATAAATGTATATAATTGTCTAGTACTGGCACAGGCTGCCACAGGCTGCAGGCTGCCACTTAAGTATTAGATCATTTTGCAGCCCTAAGGGCAATAACTAAAAAAAACTGTAATTACAAACATTGTGAAAATCTAACTCATCCAATCAAATAGTGATGACAAATATCCGGATGGATAGAGGGGACAAAAACTTGCATTTTTTTTCAATAGCTTGATGGCAAAGTAAATACTATTTCAATCAAACTTACATCAACTGGCTTATCTTTCTCCCAATCACCTAACATATCAGACGTCTTAGACTCAACGATCTTGTCTTCAGACACTATCTTCATCTGTAGACTGGCAACTTGTGTCTGGATAGCCGAGTCTTTACGTTTCATGATGTCAGTGAACGCACCCCATTCTCCATCCACGTTATCTATATATAGCCAGTTACTAGGGAACTGGAAACGTTGACGTTCTAGGATTCTCTGACCCTCTTTATACATCTGGAAAATTAAATCAGAGTTTTACTTCTTACTTTTCTGCTCTAAATGACCATTTGTTTGACCAATCATACCTTAGTCTCAGAAACAGGAGCTTTTTAGATAAGCTAAACAGTAATAATGTTCACCGCTATTGAAATTGGAGTCTTCAAATCCACATCTGTCCAGAATTATACGCATTAGAAAGTTAAAATGACGAGATGTCTTTTCTTGAGACTCTGCCATATATAGAAAAGACATCTATAGAAATAGAAATTTTTGAAGGAAACGTGCAATTTTTGTAAATTTGTTAATATTCTGAAGACTATTTACAAGAATCCAAGACCCAAATCAACCCTCAAAATAGGGAACCTATCCCTTTAATCATGTTCAACTTACATCTACTTGTTTTTCCCATGTATTCATCTTTCTCTTCAATGACTGGACATGTGTTATCAGTCCAACAGCTTCTGATGTATTGGCTGTGTCTAATGACTGTTGTTCTAAATCACTTCGAGACTGAAATATAACACTGGGGACATTACTTCAAATGCAGAGAACACAGGGCTTATTATTTGAAATTCAGATAACACAGGGAAAATTATTTCAAGTTCAGATATCACAGGGCAAATTATTTCAAGTTCAGATATCACAGGGCAAATTATTTCAAGTTCAGATAACACAGGGTAATATTGTTTCAAATTCAGATAACACAGGGCAAATTATTTCAAATTCAGATAACACAGGGCAAAAACTTTCAAATTCAGATATCACAGGGCAAAAAATTGCAAATTCAGATATCAATGGGCAAATTATTTCAAGTTCAGATATCACAGGGCAAATTATTTCAAGTTCAGATAACACAGCGTAATATTGTTTCAAATTCAGATAACACAGGGCAAATTATTTCAAATTCAGATAACACAGGGCAAAAAATTTCAAATTCAGATAACACAGGGCAAATTATTTCAAATTCAGATAACACAGGGCAAATTTTTTCAAATTCAGATAACTTTGACTGATTTATAATGATTTAAAACAAATGTTACCTTAGAAACGGCAGCATGGAATTCTGTCATCTCATTACCCAACATGGAACCAAATTTACTCAATACTTCTTTATGCCAGGAATCGTATTTTAGAGACACTTTAGACTGGACCTAAAAACAAACAAATAATAAGTATTTGGTCCAGAGCTGAAATTTGCTAAGCACCACATATTTTTCAATGAATTTAAGTTCTACATGTTAATTAAAAGTAGTCTGATATAAATGTATGGTCCATTCCACGAATATGTCTTGAAATCTAATCATTTTATAATTTCATCTACATGTTTCTGTTTGATTTTCCTCCAGTTATAATAAATACGAACCTGATAGGTCTTTTCATAATGTACTTAATGTATAATGTATTTAAATCAAGACACCAACCTTTGAGAACTGGACTACGACTGGACCAATTTCTTTCTGAGTTTCTGATGTATCAAAGGTTTTTCTTGAAGATTTTATTTCTTCTAATGTACTCATCCATAGTTTCATATTGTTATCAAGACGACCATAGAGTACATCGGCGTTCAAATCCCATAGTGATTGGTAACGGAACCAAACCTGAAATATAAATTAGATTTTTGAGAAATGCCAAATTCTGGGTACAAAATTTAAGCAGACTTTTAATTCTTACATTTCTCAAACTTGGATGTATGCAATGAGGGAAAAAATTTATCAAATCAGGATCAAATCAAATTTTCCTGGCTAGTTACTAAAGATGAATTCAAAGGATACTTAAATAAAGTTAGTCAAGAATCTGCAAAAACAAATCAAATGATCAAAGACAAACTTAAAAATCTAATTCCAACTTACAGTGACATAATCTTCAAGTTCTTTAATGGTTTTATTGATGGCGCTGTAGGCATCTTCCAGAACTTCAGGTCCCCCTGGCGTCTTCGTTAGAACATTTCTATATGTTATTTTAGCTGGGTCGACATCTAGACCAACCTGAAATTTAACATAGACCAATATAAATCTTGAAACAAAGCAACATAGACATAGTGACAGTCATTTTCTTTCGAGACTTTTAAGGTCGTTCAGGTTCAAGGTAGATTGCACCCTAAATGAAATATTTACAGTTATAAATTCAAAGTCAACTATGAACTAAACCAACTATTTCCTAACTGACTGCCAATACTTTAATCACTGTTGCCTTTCAAATCAAATCTATAACTAAATGGACAGATATTTTCAAATTTATCTTGAATGGCCAATATATTGTTAATGTTACCTGATATCGGGAGTGTTGAATTCTGGGTAATCCTGTAATTACGGCCTCCCAAGCGAATAATTCTTGTAAAACGTTGAATCGAGCATCTTCTACAGGTGGATTGAGATAGATAACTTGGTTGGTGATACGTAATTCATGAATTAAAGGCTACAAAATAGAAAATCTTACTGAAAACTAAGATAAAATTTCATGAAAATGCAAACCTGAAATTAAAACTCTTACCAAATCTTGTAGCGATATTCATAAAAGTATGAAAAAGAAAAAGTAGTTGAATAAAAAATTATTGTGGTTTAATTTTTTTTGGCTAAGTATATAGGGTCAAAATGCATCATTTCAATATCAAGTTCGTTTGATAATTATCATAATTGATGATAGTTATCAATATTGCGAGGCATTTAGAATTATCCATACCTTAATATGCGGTTCTCCACCAGGTTTAGGAGCTGGTGTTTTGGGTTCATCTGTATCCATAGAATGATCTACTACATCTTCTTCTTTCTTTATCAGACAGTCTGTCCAGGCTTTTAATCCTGCTTCTAGTCGAGCTGCTAGGCGTCTTTCAACCTACACAAAATATTATTTACATAATATGATTTTTATTTAATTGAAGCAATTATATATTGCAATGGAGCTTTACATACTACTTTTCTGCTCCAGTTTGAGCTAACACCATAAGTGTGCAATGAGAGAAATATTGCAAAATCATTCTACTTTTTAAATTTCGAACTTTCATCTGATCTTGAATGTTACTCCTCCAACAACCTGCATACATCACTCAAGAAAACCAAGCGGAAAGATCAAAACCCAGAATGAATCTCCTAGTGAGTGAGTAATGATCTATTAACTGAACCTTTCCAGCTCTGAAATTCAAAATAATAGTGCTCTTACCTCTTCATCCATTTTGGCCACCCATTGAGGAAGATTAGAAAATGAATGTAAACTGAGATTATCTACTGCTTTCTGTATCTTATTTAAAATAGCTTTAAACGTAGTAGCGTTATAGTTACAGGTATCTAGAGCTTTAACTTCTACATTAATTTCAGCTTCCATAGCCAATAAATCATCCACCTGAAATAACATTGTTAGATTTTAAACATAGTATAACATTGTGATACATTTTAAACATAGTATAACATTATGTTACATTTTAAACATAGTATAACATTGTGATACATTTTAAACATAGTATAACATTATGTTACATTTTAAACATAGTATAACATTATGTTACATTTTAAACATAGTAAAACATTATGTTACATTTTAAACATAGTATAACATTATGTTACATTTTAAACATAGTAAAACATTATGTTACATTTTAAACATAGTAAAACATTATGTTACATTTTAAACATAGTATAACATTATGTTACATTTTAACTAGTACCATATAATATCGTTAAAATTAAATTCACTTTCATATGCACATTTCTAAAATTCTTACCAAATTGAATCATTGTTACATTTACAAAACTAATTCAAATTGTAGAGTCTTGACTCATATTTTCAGTTAAAATATAACACTTTCACTCTCAGAACTAAGATAAGCTTTCATACCCTTTCATATTTGAAAGATGTTCCATCTAAATTTCAATCATTGTGATGTTTAAGACTAAATGATCGAAAATACATTTAAAAGGCAGAAATCAGAAGAATTATTAAACTGACCTTTTCCTGGAAGGTGAAGACCCCATCTGACAGTCTCTGTACATACGTATCTAGTTTATAGGATTCCCAGACCAAACTACAACCTTCAGCTATCAATTCTTGAACATCTTTCCTCAAACCAGCTACTAATAATGCTAGTGGACTCTTGGTGTCAATCTGTAAACAAATTAAATACAATAGAGTTTTACATGCCTACTTCTTCTGGTTCTAATCAAGCTAAAAAGAGCAATTGGGGAAATTTCAGGGAATCAAACCACACACATTAAATTTTTAGCTGTTATGTAACACAGACTAACATATGAATAGCTGTTATAACACATAAAGTAACACTGCAATATAAAGGGCCATATGCAGCGCTCGTACTCTATCTAAACTTTGACTAAAGTTAGACTTAAGTCGAACTTTAGGTATGCACTGGTCGATCTTTACGAAAGTCGTGCTTAAATTTGACTATCAAATGTAGAAAATGAAAGCCTTAATCCTAACTTTGTAAAGTTTGACTTGAGCCAAAGTTCAACTTTGTCAAGGTAGGTCAAGGTCAAGGTAAGAGCGCTGCATACGGCCCAAAGAGTAATGGGAATTACTGCTAATCCCAGACTGCCACTAGGTTTGTCAACTGGACATCTCATTTAGAGAGTATATGAAATGAAAATAGCAATTAAGATGTCCTACATACCTTATCTAAAGTTCGTTCATATGTCTGTACACTTTCTATGAGAGAGATAGCAAAGGGGTACAGCTGATTCGCTTGATGTGCTTTATTGACAATTACCAATGGAACACGGAATCCTAGCCAACGTAGATTTCGTACCTATAAATAACAATTTATAAATCTAAAAACTTCTAGACATAAATAGATGATTTTATGTCTTATTTTTCTTAGAATTTTGTTTAGAATCTAAAATAAGTCACACTGGAACTTCTATTAAGTTTCTATTAACTTGAACAAGAATCTGTAGTAAACCTTTTACTATCTTTTGAAAATTGGTATAAAATGTAAAAGTTGCCACATTCTTGATTCAAAACAAAAATATACATGACTTACCTCTTTTGATAGTTGGATTATCTCAGGTTGAAAGTTGGTCATTAGTTTGAGTATGTTACCTTTATTTAAAACTCTCATTGTTTGTATGACAAATATTCTACCTGTCACGTTCAGCTGACGATTCTGAACCTAATAATATATAATAGTAATCATTATCTAAACAAAGTCTAATCAATATTAAAACAAAACCTGAAAAAAGCTAATTTGTCTGAAAATCACATAGTGCGAACTTTATTGGCTGTTGTGATGCCACGCTGAGTATGCTTACTCTATTAGACACCTTATACCACTCTTCATTATGAAATACTTACTCATTTATGATTTATATACTTCTTCATTTGAAAAGCTCAAGCTGCTAGCAATGTATTGCTAAATTGTTATTTTGGATATTGTTTTTCGGTTCAGGTTGTTAGTAACTTGAGTTTTTATTATTCCGATATTTTGTTCAAGATGATTTCCTACCTTTCTCGTCCACTCGTCAAATAATTCCTGTGTATTTAGCTTCATTCTAAAACTATCTCCATCATTTTTTAATTTCTGACCCTCAACGTGGCTTTCCCAGCCTTTACCTAATACATCCTCAACACGTCTCATATAGGCATTCAACTGTCTCTCAATCTATAATGTAAAAAAAAGGATATATTAATTTCAGATCAGGCTGTAACACAAATAGATTGTTAGAATTTTTGTTTTATTTCAGAGGCCCTAAGATATTGTTAGCCTCTTTTGCAATAGTGACGTCACATAGAGTTTAGTATTTCTATGATTACAGAGACCACAGAAATTTAACTGAAAATAAGAATGATGCAAACAGAAGCCATAAATAGCCCAAATACACATACAAAATCTGGAATACCTCCAAAACCCCTTTTAAGATATAAAGGTAAATATACCTGTCTAGCCCAGATGATAGAACCAGATACTGGGGGTAGATCTCTCACTTTACTCATTCTACAGGCTTTACTCTGGGGATACTGCACCTATTAAATATAACAGATTCATGGTCTGGTGAACAAACAGATAGAAAATTTCTAAAATTGATTCCATGTTATGGGCTTGAAGTTAATGGAATGAATAAACATTTTTTTTTCTATCATATAATGAAATCAATAACAGTCAAGTGCCCAATGGCGGAAATTATCACTGAGAAAAGCAGTAACTTATGAACTCTATCAGTTTCTAATTGTTGTATTATACATACATATGCCTTTTGCAAATAAGTTCACATAAAGTATTCTGTTCTTTGATACACCCCCCTATAATATATAGTAGAGACTGTAAGCAGTAACTTGCGAACTCTTTTACAAGTAGTCAAAAGTCGTATAAAGCATAGCCTGTTGTAAATGGATTTACACAAATTATTCTGTTCCTTTCAAAGCTGAAACCAAACAACTGTTCCATGCCATTTAATAAAATTGTATACTTTTTTAACCTACCTTGAATTTTTCATGGAGTGACTCAATATCATCTTTGACTCTCTGTATCAATTGTGTTTGATATTCTCGGATGGCACCACGAATGTGTGGCCGTACAAACAGAGCATTAAATCTCGAGAAGATACGGAACATTTCGTTGGCATTACGAGCTGTACCAAGTTGATCTCGAAGTCGAGCTGTAATTCTAGTCTCTACTCTATCGATTCTTTCATCGTATCTGTTCACGAAAAAAAAAAATCTTTAATCATCTTGATCAAATTTTAAAATGAAAATACTGATACACCAACAGATAAGCTTTGGACACATAATTATCAAAATATACCTGAGTGGCAAGTGAAGAGTACCAAGTGATGTTATAACCTCATACGCTTTAAGTTAACATACTTGGTGTTCTGGGTATATGATATTTTAAAGGGTTAAAGTAAGTTCATATTTACTAAACTATTGGTAAATTCTAAGAAATACAAACCTTTTAATAGCAGCTTCCCAAGAGTCAGAACCTTCTTTAGAAACTTCTAATACATCAACTTCTTTTACATTTTCATAAGCTAGGTTAACTTCCTGTTAATATAGTAAATATCAACCATTACAAATCACTTAGCTGAGAGCTTGCTTTTATTGAATTTAATTTGGGGTACTAACCAATTTTTAGGGAGCCCTGTATCCATCTGGTGCCGCTACTGTATTGATGAAAGATTTTGATAATTTAAAAAGGCAAGATCCTTACCTCAATGGCATTAGCATCAGCTGCTTCATCTACAACAGGTTCTCCCTTAATAACATCCCCATCTTCCCCGGGGGTACCAGCTCGACCAGTTACTGGGCGTAGTACACGCATAATAACTTGACGTAACTGTTCATGTTGTCTTCGGAATCTAAATATCAAAAAGAACAAATATACTTACGCATTTTAACACAAGAGAAATATGGAGGCTTATACACCGGATCTGACACAACAAGGTTTGACACGACAAAAATAGAAATAGGAAATACATACACTATACATTCTGTGTACGACACAAAACAACACAATATCCTCCAATACGACAAATCATTTTGACAGTCAAAAGGTGTGCATTGAAAGATCAAGTCATGTTGTGATGTACTGTGCCATACCATTTTATATCTCATGTTTATATCAATTTCCAACTTACTTTCTCATATGATCTAATCTGGCTTGAAGTCGTTTGTGAGCAGGATTCACTCTCCAAACCATACGTAGATGTTCTTCCCGCTTCTTTTTAACCAGATCTCGTAACATGGCCTGTAGTTTATCATACTCATCATCCCAAGCTACGAACACGTCAAAACAGGCTGACATCACCTATAATATAGAAATAATATTAAAATAACATCGCGTTATATTTCATAACTTAATTTACTATATTTGTTATACAGGACCATGTCCTTGTGTATTGGAACTTATTTTGACTCATATCAAATAAAGAGTTTATTATTACTATTTTTTTTAAGTTTTATGTAAATCCTATATCTGATATAATTCCTACCTTTTCAAATTCATCATAAGGAATATGCATCAATCTTCTTGTTCCTAGAACCTAAAAGAATAAAATATCAGCATGAAAATTCAGTAAAAAAAAAAAAAAAAAAATATCACCTTTTTGTGCTCATGATGACTGTTGCCAGTTGTCTGGAGCATCATAATCTTAATATGATTGCAAATAAACAATACTTGTTTACATCTGAATAGTTAATGTTGTTAAATTCATATTACAAGAATTGTAACCAAAAAAACCCTAAATCATTGTCTTGTGGAATATTTCAGGATATATTTTCAAAAATTTCTAAGGCACTTATTACCTAGGAAAATATATTTTCTTAAAATAAAATTTTACCTTCAACAATTGTGCACTAAGGTCTCTGGAAATAGCCTCCACTAATCTCAGGGCTCTCTGGATCGGATATTTAGTAGGTCTTATTTTACGAAGATGTAAGAATATAGCCTGTAGTGCCTGTCTGATTTTATCAAGTTCGGTGGCAGAGAGTAAATCGTTAATTGGGAAATCTTTCATCAGTTGGTTATAATCGTTTACTGTAGCCATGGCTTGTTTTAATCCTGAAACATAGTTTTGATACATGAATTCAAGAAATTAGAATTTAAGAAATAGAGTCGTTGCCTTAGAACTTGCAAAAACCACAGACGTCTGATTAATAATTGGAATAATGCAAACACATGCAATAAGTGTCCCGATTCACATTATATATTTTGAAAACTCTTTACAATCCCTTTGATCTTCAAGGTATAACTGGATTATTTGTATTCATGTTTCATACAATGATTTTCGAAATTAAATTATATACGAACCTGTATCTGTGTCAAAACTGACGGTAGCGTGAAATCTTTTACCATGTTTTAAAATATCTAAGGTTAAAACAACTTCGATACTTTCTCTCTTCTCCTGTATACGTAATAATGCTCGTTCTAAATTCAACCAGAAACTTATTTCTTGTAGAGCTGTACCAGACGCTGGATCTCGGTCTAATTTTGTTACCTGGAAATATAGTCAATTGCAGTATTGAAATACTGTCCTCTATTTCTAAAGTAAATTCATCAAACATTTATTTCTATGGACTTGAAGACATTCCAAGACCAATTTGAAATTGAGGAATCTGGGAAAATATTTTCAGTTTTCAAGATATTAAAAAAGGATAACATTAAAACCTATTGATGTGGAAAAAGCTGAGATTTTGACATTAATGCATCAATTAGTGAAAAAACATTCTGAAAAAAATAAGCGAATACCTTTTGAATTTCTCTGATCCATCTATTAACACCACTCTGAAGATTGTTCAAAAACTGAGCATCTTCCACCTTATTTCCAAAATCTTCTACTTTCGGTTTGCGATTCTCATCAGCACATTTTTTAATTATCTGCGAGACTATTGGGTTGACAGGAAGTGTGATTTCTGGGATATCTATGTTCTGTTGCAGATGTAATAACCCCATTTCTAATTCTGCAATTTTCTTTTCAACTGTAGGAGCCATTTTATCTCCATCTCTGAAAGTGAAATAATGAACTGCAGCCAACAGATACTATGGGTGGACATTTTCTATAATATACCGATATTAGTTCTCTGAAGATCGCATAGCGTGAATAACATAAATAACATTTTCAAGAATAACTGACTATGTAGATAAAGTATCTGTAATATGTGCATAGCCTGTATGCAGTTTACGACTATTACTTGATTTGATAAATTTGTTTTTCGATAATTAACGATAACTCGCGTTCCATATAAAGTGTTTTTTTTTTTTTTAATCCGCGAATGGAATCACAAATTTCCTCCCTGACTTGACTGAAATTGTTGGAAACTATTTATAAGACGGTGGACCTACATTACGAAATATCACTTTTATAAATATTGAAACTTTGAAGATAAAATGTTAAATTTTAACACTTTTATCCACATTGTGATTGTATTGTGACCCTTGTATTACATTACCAACAGAAGACAAAAACACATAACATGAACTAACCTTTCAGCTTTGCCTGTTTCTCTAATGTAAGACTTGAAGAAAGGGGCTACCGCATTACTGACGTAGGCATGAAGAGTCTCGTAAGGTGACCCTTCACTGAAATTCATAATACGAAGCTGAGACGGGAAACTTTTATCAGCTTCCACCACTTGACCTCTCTTGATGAGTACCACACTGGAAAAATTCATAAAAATGGAATGAAATGGAGTTTTACATCCTACTTTTATGTAGAAATTTACATTGAGAAAAGAAAGGGCATGGTGTTACTCTTAGAACACAAAGGGATTAAAAAAATCTGATCAAAATCAATTTTAAATATTTGAAATCATTTTGTTATTTCCAATGATTTTCTTTAGAAAATACTATTTAGAGTATTAAAAAATATTTCAATATATATATAAACAGAAACATACCTCCAGTTATATGACTCAATTTTTATACGATATTGAAATATCAGCCTACCTTGACATTTTGGAGTTTGAGAAATGAACTTCTGAAGTGATGATGTAGGAGGTTGTTCCTTCTCCATCTCCTCCTCCCTCACTAACTTCCTCACTTTCATCTTCAAAATAAAGTATTTATTTCATTAGCAAAATAAACTAGAACTGTGTATTAGGGTTGGCTTATTTTCGTTCTAAAATGTACACTCTACTGTCAGACCACATAAATATCTCAATCTGAATTCTAATATGATTTAAACAATATATATTTCAGATTTACACAAGTATAAAAACATATATACATATATCTATGGTTTCCGAAAATATCAATGGGCCTACTGAAAAAATATAATGACAGTCACATGTCTGTCATGTCAATTCATAACAATTGTCTTTGGATTGGACTAATCAACAGAGAAAATAAACTTTTTGTGGGGAGACAGAGGCCAGCACTTAATTACAAACATAATTTTGCACAAAATTATAAGGAATTTTTCGTTTTAAATTGAGATATGACTCATAAATAAAACATTGTAAATCAATCTACAGCTAGCTGCAACAGGTGTCCCCTCTTTCTATACTTGATTGTACAAAATCAATATATCGTTTTGTAGCTTTTATTATTTTGCAGAATAAGCCAACAGGTACCGGTATATCGAAAAAAAAATAAAAAGGATTTGATTAATCAATACTGCAGAATATTTTTGCAAATAATACAAAGATTAATCATAGCCAGCCTGTGGGATGCAAAATGAAATACCGGTAGCGAGATGTGGAAAACCAGTATCATTTGACTGATGCAAGATAGGTCACAGTGTCCCATTCATGTCTGGATCGAAAATACAACTACACCAGATATTTCTTTCATTTGATTTTAAATTTCTATGAAAATTTCTTGGTCAATTCTGAGATTAAAGAGCACAAATTAGACTCTATAGACAGACAGGATCAAAAAAAAGTGGCATAAAAATCAACTTAAAATGGTTTTCTGACACTCCCATTATCAAAATGACAAATTCTTTTGTAATGGCAGAACAACAAATTTTAAAGGCAATAAAGTCAGGCAGATTCTGGGGACTTTGCAGCCCTTCTAGTGTCCCTCAGAGGGGAAACGCCCCTTTAAGAACCCCCTCCTCCCCACTCCTTTCTCCCATTTTTATCTTCAATCTCTAGAAAGAAATTTACCTTTAGTGGAAGCTCTTTGAACCAACAACGCAGAAACTTGGGGGTCACTCAGGAATTTCTTCACGGACTCGACATGATTCTTGTCGGCGAAGGCTGCGTCCAGGGATTTCAGGCTTGGATCTTCATCTTCTAAAAGAACAGGGACGATACGGCGGAGATACTGGGTAAAGCTAGCCGTTTCTGCCACGGACAACGCCGGCGGTTCCTCAGCTGGTGGAGGAGCGGGCTGGGTGTCCGCCATCTCCGATGTCGAAAGCAACAACTAACTTTGTTCCTTCACCTCCGATTTCAACACGGTGAATGCTGGAACTAAATGAATATTGAGTTCTATGAGCTCAGTTCACCACAATATGATGTGATTATCCGGGCACTATATGTCAAAACGTCACTACCGAGCATGACTCATAAACTAGATTTGTCTCCCTTTAACTGTCAAATTTAATATGTAGACTACAAATCACACTTAACTTATTGTACCATATAATTTTCACCCTCTTGGCTCTTACGTCTATTTTAAGACGAGAACCCAATGACTTAATACTATGTCCAATGTCTTATTTTCCCTGCGCAGTCCACGATTTCATTGAAAGAACCCCGTCGCCTGGAATGAATTGGTGCTGTGGCTCAGATTTTGTACTCAGAAAATTTGAAGAATAAAACTGAAGGCCCCGAGAACTCATTTCTGATAATTTTGATGTAAAAACGTTTCAAAATCAATATCTTTTCTGTAAATGAGTCAATCTCTGCTGAACTGAAGAAAGTTTTGCTGGATCTTAATTCTCACTTGATGGGGCCCACCTCCCTACACCAGACCTCACCCTAACGACGGGGAGTAGGGACTGGAAAGAAATAACAATCATTTAATGATAATCTCTTTAATTGTTACATTAAGGAGTGTAAAAATCTAGAAATTCAAAAGTCTACTCAAACGGTGTTTATCAATCACAAGTTAACACTGTTCAAGGTTACTTTGAGTTTAAAAGATTATAAAGACGTAACGAGATTAAACTTTCCCGCCAAAACGTATCGTAGCTCTCTAACGTCGAAGGTAGAAAATGACAGTGCGATGTTCAGTATTGTAAATATTGTCGTGTGTGATATTGGACCGGTGTTATGATATCAACCATCTATTATCATTATATGGAGATGTATAATTGACAGATAAGTGAATTAGATAGGTCGAATTCGGTTCCATCAAACGAAAGGTGAGTTATTCAATTGATATAAGTCTCTCAAAGCTTAATATTGCCCTCCAATATTCCTTTCATTGAAGAACAACTCATTCCGAAGCCTACTATTAGTGTGCATAAAACTTTAACCAGTGATTGTTGTTCCATAAAGCTGTGTCTATATATCGTACTCACAATTGCTAAATTCCATTCAAAGACTTTACTATTAGTGTATATTAATGATACATTTCTTAGAGGAAATCCAGTTGTAGTTTAATCAGATTGCATAATAAACTGGTCCCCTATTCCATATAAAGCTTCTCACCAAAGAAACTGGTTGGGCCTATTGTCATCTCAACATTAATTGCACGAATTTCATGACATACACTAAAGTAACATCATTGTGGTTCCAAGTTTTCAATGCTACATAGACTATGTCCGGTCAAATCCTGCAGTCAATATTTTGACAGTATAAGGTTTTATAAGAGATACTCTCTTATAGAAGAGTTGACCTAGGTCACAAGTATTAGGTGCTATAAGAGATACTCTCTCATAGAAGCACTGGCCTAGGTCACAAGTAGGGACTGAATTTCAGCTTTGGAATACATCAATTTGATAGGAACCGTGAGATTTAGGCCGTACCTGTTGTTAGTGTAACGATAAGCAAAGAAAAAGGATCCAGTTTAATTTCATAAGGGTGTGTGTTTGTAAGCTTCATGATAACAGGATTATTTCCTGTCTTTCCACTGCTCAACAAAATATACGTTTTAAATAGCAAATATACTTAATTCCATGTACTGTAATTGACTATAATGCACCTTAAATGAAGTATATTTGACTGCAAATTTTTCACTAACATTCGGATTTTCAATTTCTTTTTCACTATAGCACTTTATTTCCAGTTCTTTATTAGTTACACAATGATAAAAATATTTCGTCCTGTGAATAGTGCACATTTTCACTCTAATTAAATTTTTTCTGGTCTTGTTCAAAAATAACTTCGGGGCATCATCGTGGCTCAGTAAGGGCAGACACTAGTGGTGGAGCCAAAAGGGGGTGGGGCAGAGGGATTTGGTCAAGATACATTATCCATTCAAATTTAGTTTTTACCAGTCTTGTTCAATTGGAGATCAAAAAGGATCTTTGTGGCTCAATAAGGGCATGCATTAGACACTAGAATCTCTGTGGTTCTATCATTGCAAATGTCAAGTTAGTACCTTCAGATTTCTCAACCTTGTTTTTTTCTGCCAGTGAAATATGTCATAATAAACTACATTCTCTTCCTACTTACATGGATTTACTCTGTGTTTGGCGTAATAACAAATAGAATGAGCATTTGAAACTACTGAGCTACATGTAGGCAATTAATCAATTGGGAGTTTATAAGGTTAATTGAAAGATTGTTTTTTTTTTTTTTATCTTGTAGAATTGAAAGATTGTTAATAACTGATAATAAACCTAGGTCTTGTCTTTTATAAAATCAATTTCAGATTCTCAACACAAAGGCAATCTAAGACTCTCACTAGACCTAGGCCAGTGCTTTCATGAGACTATGTTCTCATCACCATCTAACACTAGTATTTTGTAATTTGGTATTTCATAATTCATAGGAAAATGATTGTCAAAATTCAATTCAGAAAACAGTGAAGTCAGAGAGTAAGTTGATCCTCTTAAAGTGATGTAGAGTTGACATCCAAAGTTGCAGAGTGGCTATAGACTTTGTATAGAAACCTAGAGTGGATGCCTTTTTGGGTTTTGATATCCCACAATTCCTTATTTTATCAAGAATTGGGTTTAACATGACGCACTTTGATTGGTTTAAAATACTACCTTTGGGACAGGCTCTTGGTAGAAAACTTATTAGATTACAATGTAGAAACTATCAGAAAAAAAAGAAAAGATTGAGACTACCCTGGACTATGGATACAGTCTAGTCGATTCATTGTGAAAAAATTGAATTATGTCTGGAAGAACTGGTCTATTTGATTTATAGGTAAAATGTTGGTGACTGGAAGACAAAGACTTGTTGATTTATATGAAAGTTGACTGGTGTCTAGAGAAATAGAACAGATTGCTGACATCAGATCTATAAATAGAATCTATATTCCGTGGAATTTCTTTAACATTATGTTGGTGGGTTTTTCAGTTATTTCACTTGTTGACATTTCTCACAGTTTTAATCGTAGTTAATTGTGCGCTATGGGTTCGAATCTCTCGTATCAATCCAATTAATTACAACACAGCAGGATGTTAGACTATTTCATTGCATTAGCCTAGAAACAGAAGTAGATGTCCAACCAAAAAAGGGTACAGAACTGGGGCCTTATTCTTGAAAACTTAACTTAAACTGATTTTAGTATTCCAGTCATCTGATTGGTCAAACATTAAAAATGATTTTAAATTTTTTTTATAATCCAATCAGATTACTGTATTTCTTAAATTCTGGATTTTATCTAAGTTAAGTTTTGGAGAATAAGACCCCTGATTTGATTTTATCTCATTTTATTGACCTATATAGTAGTGGCAAGTGTCACACGCGAAGCAGACCATGCTTACTCTTTTCGATACACCAGGTGGCACTTCTCTTTGGAGGAATCCACTACTATACAACTTTTACTCCCGATTTTGCCATATTGTAGATGTAGATTAATGGAATTGTCTTGCTTTTATGCTGTTTATTGTTTGCAACATTATTTTTACAAGTTTGTAGCTTCACTGCAGTAAAAAAAAATCCAATGTGAAGTCTCGATGTATTACACAGAACATTAGGATGTTAAACTCTATTTCATTTCATTATGGCAAAAAGGAACAGAAAAGGATATAAAACCTCATTTCATTTCTTTTAGTAAAATAAGATAGAAAACAGTAGAACAAAACTTCATTTCATATCATAAAGTCAATAAAGATCAGAAGATTACAATTTCAAATTTGAATTCGTTTCTATTTGTCAATTCAGAATTGTATAATTTGAAATTTGATATATGCAAATAAATAAACCAAGCACTAACGATCAGAACAGCAAAATGGAACCTGAAATCCAAACAAAACTGTTTGCAATACATCAGTTGAAGCACGATATAGAAATACCACTGTTAAAATAGTGCCCAATACATCAATTGTAGCGCGATATAGAAATACCACTGTTAAAATAGTGCCCAATACATCAATTGTAGCGCGATATAGAAATACCACTGTTAAAATAGTGCCCAATACATCAATTGTAGCGCGATATAGAATACCACTGTTAAAATAGTGCTCAATACATCTATTGTAGAGTGATATAGAATACCACTGTTAAAATAGTACTCAATACATCAATTGTAGAGCTATATAGAAATACCACTGTTAAAATAGTGCCCAATACATCAATTGTAGAGAGCTATAGAAAAATCACTGTTAAAATAGTGCCCAATACATCAATTGTAGAGAGCTATAGAAAAATCACTGTTAAAATAGTGCTCAATACATCAATTGTAGAGCAATATAGAAATACCACTGTTAAAATAGTACTCAATACATCAATTGTAGAGCTATATAGAAATACCACTGTTAAAATAGTACTCAATACATCAATTGTAGAGTGATAAAGAAATGCCACTGTTAAAATAATGATTAATACATCAATTGTAGAGAGCTATAGAAAAATCACTGTTAAAATAGTGCTCAATACATCAATTGTAGAGCTATATAGAAATACCACTGTTAAAATAGTACTCAATACATCAATTGTAGAGCAATATAGAAACACCACTGTTAAAATAGTACTCAATACATCAATTGTAGAGTGATATAGAAATACCACTGTTAAAATAGTGCTCAATACATCAATTGTAGAGTGATATAGAAATATCTCTATTAAAATAGTGCTCAATACATCAATTGTATAGCTATATAGAAATAACACTGTTGAAATAGTGCTCAATACATCTATTGTAGAGCTATATAGAAATACCACTGTTTAAATAGTACTCAATACATCAATTGTAGAGCAATATAGAAACACCACTGTTAAAATAGTACTCAATACATCAATTGAAGAGTGATATAGAAATACCACTATTAAAATACTGCT